TAAGTTTACAAGCTTATAGTTTCCACACAATCAAACTTAAATAAATTCTGTATACACTACTTGAAAGGTGGGGAAAAAAATGTCTGGAGGAAATCAACAAGAACTTACTTCATTACATTCATCTACAAGAATAAAGAAGAGATCAAATCTAGACATGATAGGTGCTGTCAGTGTGATGTTCTGCTTCAGTGACTTTGATCTGTCATATCGTCCACCAATAGGATTAGCTGCAGCCAGAATAGATGTTCTGGCATTCAATGTAGCCTGAGAAAAACAAAAACAGTCACAAAATACATTTCACAACTATGTTTTGGTTAACTTGAAAAACTTAAGCAAATGTGACAAGTATTCTCCACTGAAAAATACAAAGGTGGCATTCATTTTGAATGATTATTAAATACAAAATCTCTCTTTGTTTAGGGTTTTCTGAACCTGTTTCCTTTACAATTTATGACCTTAGTAATCTTTGGTGCAAGAATAGTTTGAAATTTGATTTTACAATAAAGCTTTGATAAGCAAATAGACTTTTTTCATGTCAGAACCCCAACCATTATTGTCTGCAGGTATTTTAACACCTTTCAATTAGATTTTAGTTTTCTGTGGTACTACAACACCTCAAGTGTCCCTCTGTTCATTACATGCACAAACGGGTGCCTGAGTAGAACCACCAACATTCCATACTCTAGCTGGATAGCTTTCTCACACATAGAATCCGAGGGCACTTGTGCTGCTTGAACCTACACTACAGCTGTGAGAGACAAGTGGTTTGAAGCCAATGACTATAATCACTCAACTATGGACACCCAGGTACTTACTTTGAGGTACTTAATCTGTTTACGATCATAGACTACTTACTCTGACACCTGCTTTAGTTATAGAGATGGTCTGTTGTTCCATAGCCTCGTGAATCGCCACCTGATCTTTTGGGTCCATCTTGTCAAACTCGTCAATACAGCAAACACCGTTATCAGCCAACATCAGTGCTCCAGCCTCGATCACAAACTCGTGAGATTCCTCGTCCCTAACAACAGCCGCTGTCAAACCGGCTGCTGTACTTGCCTTCCCACTGGTGTACACCGCACGTGGACTGAACTCCTCTACTTGTTTTAGGAACTGCGACTTCGCAGTACTAGGATCACCAACAATACAGATGTTAATATCACCTCTAAGCTTTGTTTGTTCTAGCGTCTGTTTAGGAACACCACCAAACAACATCAGCAAAATTCCTCGCTTTATTTCATCATTACCTGTAAAGAAAAATGTACTATCTTAACAATAACTTAATACAACTTTTTGTTAATGAACTAAAACAAATTAACTACAGGATCTTGTAGCAGCATTTTTTATTTATTAACAAAAGTAAAATAATGTAAACATATCTAATTGAGAGTGAGCCAAAATTATCTGCATTTGCTATCAGCAGAGCAGAACTAGACTGCAAAGCTAAGCAGACAATATATTGTTGATTTTTTGACTGTTTTTGTATTTTTTTGATATTAAAATATGCTTTCAAACATAATAGAAACCCTGTTAAACATGTAACTGAGTATAAAACATTACCATGTATAGTTGGGAACAGACTAGAGCACAGATTCTGATACAGGTTTTTATCTCTGGACATCTCGTAAACTTTCTGCCATTCTTCATCTGTCATCTGTTTCTTAACATTCTCAGCTGTCATTTCTTCCTCCTTCAATGAGCTTCCACCAAACTATGGTACAATAAGGGAGGGTGAGAAAATAGTTTCAATAATTTCACTTCCATTATATTGTGTGTTACTGCAAAAAGCCACTTTACAGGAAATTTACAGGCAATAAGTTTAACAAGTAAAATACGGCATTCCTAAAGCAAGAGCATTTTTTCCTCTAAAATATGGAAAATGTGAGTTGTCCACAAAGCAAGAGCTTGGTAGTGAAATAAGAGGCCTTTGAATAATTCTTTGAAAAGTTGTATGTCGAAAAAGAACCAAACTTTAATTGCCGTATAGCATAAACCTAAGAAATACAAGAGGCTGACAGTTTTGACTAAGTTTTTTCCTCTACGCAAAGTATAACATATTTAAAAGCTCATTCACATGACACTTTTAAATTCCATCATCATAAACTTCCATAGTCACAAAATTCAAGCAATACACCATCCATATCCCTCCCATATCGGGCATTTTTTAGTCATTACCAAAATCATCAACTCATATATATTTTTCAAGTTATAACATAGACTCACCCTTGCATTTGTTGAAGTGACTGTACATGCCAGGTAAGCCATTCTGTAGTTCAAGTCTCGTACACCAAGTGCCTTCAGGCCTCGTACACCTTCATTCTCATATCCTGAGTTAGCCGATACTTTAGCTGAAGTCTCGGCTCTAGCACCTTAAATTATATCAGAACAAATATTCATTTCCTAGACTGCAGTAAACAGATATCCCCTCTGCAACATTTTACATAGAAGAACAAGCAATTATCATAGTATTGCAAGCAATCCATAAGTCCCTAACGGTAAGAGCCCAAGCAACATTCTGAAGGGCCATTGGCCATTCACTTATGTTTCTATTTTAAGTAAATTTGTTGAAAAAAGTTCTTTAAAAGTGATCACAGGAAACAGTTTTTATGTACAGACAGACAGACGGACTGAAGGACACTCTAAAGTTATTTTTTAAACATCCCTGTTATCAAAATAAACATTTTTAAAAGCAAAATTTTTAAAAAGGAGATAACGATGTCAAACATGATGTGAGTGTAACAATGAACAATTAGTAATGAAGGTATGAATAATGAATGTTTATTTTGAATTTGAAGTAAATGAAAGTTAAAAGAACGAATAGGAAAAATTAAAAGTTTAAGGAGGAGATAATTCTGGAAATATGGATGCTAGATTTATAAACCTTGTCATATTATTATGATGTGGGAGTTTGAAGAAAATCCTATCATGATTGAAGAAGTTGGAGTAAAAATTACCAATTTCTCAAAAAAAAGTCTAAGTTCAAAAGGGGCATAATTCTGGAAATAGTCTTGCTAGAGAATTGAACTTTCTCACAAATGTTGAGTGATAATAAGAAACATTTATATGAAGTTTGAAGTAGATACATTCAGAAAAAAAAGAAGTTATTAAAAAAAACAATGTTTTTTTCATGAAAATTTTAAGTTCAAGGGAGATAATTCTGATAAATTTTGTGCTAGAGTTGTAAACCTTGTCACATATGATGTGGTTGATGACTAGCAACTTATATTTAAAGTTTGAAGAAAATACCTTAAGAAATAAAGAACTTATAGTGAAAAAACTTTAAACTAGAATCAGAAATCTTGAAATTCAGTCTATTTGTTGCCATAGCAATCAGAATTTTTAACATAGGAAGATAAGGAAAGGATGTGCATAATTTCCATACTGCCGTCTACCAATATGTCAAGTTTCATAAAAATATTTTCAGTACTTTTTGTGTTATCACTGGATCCAGGTTATGTGTAAAATTTGCCATATTTTCAGTCTATTTGTTGCCATAGCAACCAGAATTTTCAGCATAGGAAAAAAAGAAAAAGATGTGCATAATCTCCATACTGCCATCTATCTATATATCAAGTTTGATAAAAATATTTTCAGTACTTTTTGCGTTATCTCGGGATCCAGGTTATGTGTAAAATTTGCCATATTTTCATTCTATTTGTTGCCATAGCAACCAGAATTTTCAACATAGGAAGAAAAGAAAAAGTACTTTTTGCATTATCGCGGGATCAAGTTTTGTGGACGGACGGACTGACGGACAGACAGACGGACGGAGGGTAAACCTAAAGTCCCCTCCGGTAAACCGGTAGGGGACTAAAAACTTAACCACCACACCGATTCAAAATGTTTGATGTAAGTAAACAGCTTTGATTTTATTCAGATGCTATTTCCTTTTGTCAGACTTTCCAAACAAGAGTCGGTTGAACCGGGTAGGTTTTGGACACAGAAAACTATATCTTTTATAGTTTTGAGAGTTGTGTCCCAGACAAAGTTCAAAATGAGATAATTCCAAACTTAGGCTAGGAAGAGTTACTGTTCTTTGCACTGCACATCTACTCAATGAGATCTAACTACCAACTTGCCCGCGACACATCGTCTCGATTTGGTGATCTTTTCTGTGAAATAGTTGTAAAATCCGACCTCAAATAACGAAGTTATGGGCCGGATACGATTTTGCTGCAAGGTCATGCTGTGATCTTGACCTTTAAGGTAGCAACCCAAATGCTGCTGGCGACACGTCACAATATGGTGATCATTTCTGTGAAACGTGGTAAAATCCGACTTCAAATAACGAAGTTATAGGCCGGACATGATTTTGTTGCAAGGTAGCAACCCAAATGCTGCGGGCGACACGTTGTCTTAATATGGTGATCATTTCTGTGACATAGTAGTAAAATCCATACGTACGGACTAACGGACGGACAGCCTGACGTCTATATGCTCTCCCGAATTTTTCGGGGAGCATAAAAAATTATGTTGAGCACAAGTGAATCTCAATTCTTCAATTTTAAATCAAGATGTCACCTGTCATGGTGATTCCAAATAAATCTTCAACAGTTAGTGCTTAATATCAGGACACTTATAAAGTTTCTTCTTATAAATGTTACACAACACTTATCAATTTTTATTTTTTAAAGCCATTTAAAATGTCATTTAATGACCAACCTGCGGTAGATAAAGTGCTCACATCTGGTACAACAATAAGAGTTCCGGTAAAGTCACATTTATCTCCTGCTTGTGCCATCTCGACAGCCTCGGCTCTCAACACCACTTCAACACTACAATAGTAAATCAACACACAATTAATACCTCTACACTGCAATAGTAAATCAACACACAATTAATACCTCTACACTGACAATAGTAAATCAACACACAATTAATACCTCTACACTGCAATAGTAAATCAACACACAATTAATACCTCTACAGTCTGCGAAAAATACGCAAAGCCCGAGCCCGAGTCTAGTAAAAAATCATTCGGGATAGCTAAAAAGGCAGGGCACATAGTCCGACGGTCTTGCATTGTTTGGGAAACCGAAATGATTATAAATAGCATTTTAAACACAATGACTGGGAGGGATATAACATATTGATTTTCTTCGAGGTATTGACACGGGATTTTCCAATATACGTTGATACTATTTATAACCGCCGAGAGGGGTATAGCATATTGATTTTTTTCGGGGTATTGACGCTGGTATTTCCACAATGCCAGAGGGGTAAGCTTATTGAAATAATACATAGACACTTTAAGCCAATCAAATACCGCGTTATTAAAATGTCAAAATGGCGCACACAGGGGGAATTTTTGATTGCAACCAAAATGGTAACCTCCTTTTTCAAAAAATAATATTGATTGATAATAACTGTCAATGATTTTAAGATTTTGAATTTACTGGCCAAATTGCAGTTTTAATTCTACTATATATTTAACTTAATTTTCGTAAAATTTACACTGGCCCGAACTTATTTACACTGGCCATGGGCAATTGGGCCAGGGCTAAATTTGATAATGTATCGATAATAAGAGGAACAATTTAATTAAGTATATAAAATTACATACAAGTATATCCATGATTAGATTTACATTCTAAATTTACATATAAACTAGAAAATGTGTCCATAGGACACGGGTGCCCCCACCGCGCCACTGTTCTGTCAATCTTTTTACTAAGTCAAGGGAAATTACTCTACAAATACTGGATAAATCCACAAGCAAAACCCCAGGTGCAAATCTAAAATATGCTGAGCAACCTGCCTATAGGTTAAATGACTATGTCAAATCCTTTTTGAGAAACTTGCGACACAAGTTGAAAATTGCAAAAACTTTCTAAGTGAAGGGCAATAACTCTAAAAATACTAAATAAATCCAGACGAAAATACCTGGTGCACAACTGCACATGCTAATCAATATTCCTGTAAAGTAACATAACTCTAGGTCAAATACTTTTTGAGTTACCTGCGACACATGTTGAAAATTGCAAAATTTTACTAAGTCAAGGGCAATAACTCTGAAAATAATGAAAATTTCCAAACGAAAATACCCAGGTGCACAACTACACATGCTGATCAACATTCCTGTAAAGTTTAATGACTCTAGGTCAAATACTTTTTGAGTTACATGCGACACAAGTTGAAAATTGCAAAATTTTACTAAGTCAAGGGCAATAACTCTGAAAATACTAAAAATATCCAGACGAAAATACCCAGGTGCACAACTACACATGCTGATCAACATTCCTGTAAAGTTTCATGACTCTAGGTCAAATACTTTTTGAGTTACATGCGACACAAGTTGAAAATTGCAAAATTTAACTAAGTCAAGGGCAATAACTCTGAAAATACTTAAAATATCCGAACGAAAATACCCAGGTGCACAACTACACATGCTGATCAACATTCCTGTAAAGTTTCATGACTCTAGGTCAAATATTTATTGAGTTACATGCGACACAAGTTGAAAATTGCAAAATTTTACTAAGTCAAGGGCAATAACTCTGAAAATACTAAAAATATCCAGACGAAAATACCCAGGTGCACAACTACACATGCTGATCAACATTCCTGTAAAGTTTCATGACTCTAGGTCAAATACTTTTTGAGTTACGTGCGACACAAAAGTGAACGGACGGACGGACGGAAGGACGGACGGACAAGGGTAAATCTAAATGCCCGCCACTAACGTGGGGGCACAAAAAGTAATAAAACTGTTATTTCTTTTAAGCAACAGCCAGCCATCCCAAAGGAGCAAGAGTCTGAATTACTTTCTGATAATCCAACAGAGGAGTCTGTTCTTGTAGAGCAGGAGCCTCCAAACCTTCCAGAGGGGACTCCTCCCACCTTGTCAGATCTAGATGCATGTATTATAGAGCAAGAGCAAGATTCTGATATCAACACAGACAAACCTTTAGAAAGTTCTCCTCCAGAACAAGTATATGCTGAAGAGGTATATTGCTACTTTTTGAAACATTTTACATGAAGTTGTTAATTGTTTACTATTAAAAAAAAAACAAGCAACCAGAATTCAGCTCTTTACCTTTACAACCCATGTTCAATTTTATACTGCAGTCTAGACTAACCATATTTTGTATTTTGATACTGAAATCACTTAAAACTTTAAATAATAATTATAAATTGACTGTTCCGATTTCAAAGAAAAGCTATCCATTTAACAAGTTTGCCATGTTAGCTTAGGTTTGAATTTTAATATACTTATAATATTAAAAAGTAAAACATTTGTGTTGTTTTGAAAAATTTTATTCTTATTTAATAACAATGAATTTCACTTTATTTTCCGTAATATTTTCAGCATCATAACCACGGGGAATGTTCTGACGGAGACAGCGACTCGGATTATGATTCTGGTATAGATGAAGATGAGCCTATGGAAATGAGTCAACAAGAAGTTGAAAGAAATCTATTATCTTTCAGTGTAGAATATCAGAAATAAATGTTATTCAACTGACAAAGCTTTTTATCAATTTCTTCACAATATATATAAATTTGAAAACCTGGCCAAATTATGAAAAATTTTGTATGAATTTTCGGGCTACCTAAAATTTGTTCGGGCTATGTGATATTTTAATGGACCAAGCCTGAAAGTCTTTGTCCATAAAAAGTTTTTCGTGCAGACTGCCTCTACACTGCAATAGTAAATCAACACACAATTTATACCTCTACACTGCCAATAGTAAATCAACACACAATTAATACCTCTACACTGCAATTGTAAATCAACACACAATTAATACCTCTACACTGCAATAGTAAATCAACACACAATTAATACCTCTACACTGCAATAGTAAATCAACACACAATTAATACCTCTACACAGCCAATAGTAAATCAACACACAATTAATACCTGTACACTGCAATTGTAAATCAACACACAATTAATACCTCTACACAGCCAATAGTAAATCAACACAAAATTAATACCTCTACACTGCAATTGTAAATCAACACACAATTAATACCTCTACACAGCCAATAGTAAATCAACACACAATTAATACCTCTACACTGCCAATAGTAAGTCAACACACAATTAATACCTCTACACTGCAATTGTAAATCAACACACAATTAATACCTCTACACTGCAATTGTAAATCAACACACAATTAATACCTCTACACAGCCAATAGTAAATCAACACACAATTAATACCTCTACACTGCCAATAGTAAATCAACACACAATTAATACCTCTACACTGCAATTGTAAATCAACACACAATTAATACCTCTACACTGCAATAGTAAATCAACACACAATTAATACCTTTACACTGCAATTGTAAATCAACACACAATTAATACCTCTACACTGCAATAGTAAATCAACACACAATTAATACCTGTACACTGCAATTGTAAATCAACACACAATTAATACCTCTACACTGCAATAGTAAATCAACACACAATTAATACCTCTACACTGCAATAATAAATCAACACACAATTAATACCTCTACACAGCCAATAGTAAATCAACACACAATTAATACCTCTACACTGACAATAGTAAATGGCAATCAACACAGAATCAAGACCTTGACACTGCAATGTCAATGAAATCCATACACAGTTAACACTTATGGAAAGAGAGTTTCCAAAAAAGCTGTTTAAGCTTCCTACTTAACCTGTAAATTTTAAGTATCTTATTATGCAAATGTAAAGATTAAACTAAATCCACACACAAACATCAATATTAATTACACAGTGTTTTAGGATTATGTACAGTCAGTTTTGTTTTAGGATTATATACAGTCAGTTTTAACAAATAAACTTCTGGTATGACTACCACTAGGAAGATGACAGGAAAATATCCAGAAAAGACATTTAGCAAGTTCACAATCAGCACAGAGCTCCCCCACCCCCAAGGCTAATTAACCTGAAAATAGAGGAACAACTTACCTCCTAGGTATGCTTCCTCGAGGTAACTCGGCTTGGGTTTCCTGTATTCTAACTTTCTGGAAGTCTACAAATCGTGACTTGTTCACATCTAGCATGAACTTTGACCTATTGTTGCATACTGGGTTTCTGCATATACTTGGCTGTTGTAAAAAACAAAATCACTTAACGAAATATAACATAGTTTTTTTAACAAAAACCTTAAACATCAAACAATGTACCGTTACTTCATTATCAAGACCAGTAGAACACTGCTAATTGCACAAGTTAACAAAATCTGTTAAAACAGTAAGAAATTTTTTTCATATTTAATTAAATATAGAAGATAGCCATAGGGATGTTTCTGTGCTGTAACTGGAACTATTCCCTGAAATTCATGCACATAAGCAATTATGAAAACATTCTTTTGACCATTTTATCCTTATTTAAAATCATTCCTCTCTCAATGACTAATAAGGATATTAAAATAGCACTGGTTATGACTTTAATGAACACAAATAATGTTCAAGATAAAAACAAACCTGTGTGAATTTAAATTGTTGTTCAACATCTTTGATAATAGTTCTACACTCCAGACACATAAATGTGCCACTGACAAGCTCGGGATGTACAGGGTGGGTGCGTACAACCTGACCAGTTATACGTAGTAGGGTTCCAATCTTAGCTGTGGTCAACTCTCTTACTCTTGATAAAAAAGAAACATCAAATTTTTAAATACCATCAATAAAGAGCCATCAAGTCGCCAATCCAATTAATATCTTTCAAATGTTTTAAGTCTCTGCAAAAAAGTCCATACACCTAAATTTTAAGTATTACTCTCTCAAAAAGTTTGCAAAATTCAAATGTTTTTTCTAATTCTTAACTACTAGTATAATACTTATGCAAACAACCAATTAGCATTTCAAGTAATGAAAACAGTTTTACACAGTTCAGTAAATCATATTTAGAACAAAAACCTTTTTATCTTACTTTAGCCTGGATGGAACATCAATGAAACTGACATAAAATTCTTTATTGGGTGGGATCTGTCCCCAATCTTTGGCATAGTTGCGTACTGCACGGCACAAATATGGGTACACTCTGAAAATAAACACAACTTACCAACATAAATAACACTGACCTTTTACTGAAAATCTTCACTATGATAAAGAAAAGTGTGCATTTAAAATCAACAAAACTTTTGTTTTTATCTTCTAGAAATTTTGTACTTCATATGGACACAAATAACATCACCTTTTCTTTTTGTTAAAGCTATACAGCAAAAAGCAAGCATCACATTGGGTAAAAGGGGATCATGCTTCATCAAATTGGGATTTTCTTTATCCTAGTATTCCTTTCTTTGTATTTTACAAAATTCTTTATACTTAAGGCCAAAATATCCACAAAAATTCTCATATGCATATCCAAGGCAGTTATGAATATTTTAGGTTACAATAAACCACAATTTGTATGAGACTATGGGCACACATACAGAGTCGTAAATATTTCTATCTTTATAAGGTGCTTCAATATAGGACCCACATGAAGATTAATCTCTACTTAAAATACCTTCAGCTGAACAGAAAGAAGGCACATGGTTAAAAACGGCCAGTTTAACCAAACTATCAAAGAAGCCTTTCTGAAGTAAAAAAAAAATAAATTATTTTGCTAAATTTAAATAGCTCAAAATTCCGGGCAGTTCAATTACCTGTAATATTCCTCTAGAACTGCTGTGGCAAGCTGTTGGTTATATTTTTCAACATCCTCAAAACTTACAGTCAGTGTATTTCTCTCTGGTCGGATCAGTTCTTGCACTTCAGCTAAATATTTCTGTTCCCCATCAACATTAAACCTACAGAATAACAATTATAATAGAATTATGCTCATTTAATTGAAATGTTTAGGCTACATCAAATTACAATGGCACTATGTCCAATGCAGCTGCATATCTGACATGTCACAAAAATATGTTAATTGCAGTCAAATATTGGCAGTAAGTGTGTTATCTCCAATTAAGTTTAAGTTATCCCCAGAGCCTAGGATTAAATTAATTGACAAGCTCAGAATGGTACGAAAATATCTGTATAAGCAGTAAGGCGAGTAAGACTAAGTTAGGCGACTTAGTCACTCAAATCGCCCTGTTGCTAGAGCACTGCTTTCATTTATTGAAACACTCATTTATTCGTCCGATTTCTTTCTTGCAAATATATACCTGTAATTTCCGAAGAAAAAAAAACAGACGACAGTTTTTATATGCGACAAGAGGGTGGTGTTTTATTGAATTTCAACAGGGAAATACTCTGGAGCCACAGGTGACAATATCACAGTATAGGTTATTGGAATATTTGATTAATTTTATATAGTTTTAATTGCCCAGCATGATAAATGCTTGTGATATTATAACGATTGCAACAATAGTGTAACTTTGTGTTTCCTGCATAGCCATGATCGATGTCGACCTTGCGCAACTGAATAGTTTTTTTGGGGGCAGCCAGTACTTGTTAAATATAAGAGAGTTAAGAAAAGTTTTTACCTGGTTCGATAGATAAATTATTAGAGTACCCTTTTATTTATGCTGTAGTTTCAAAAACATACTAAGACACCTTCTTATGGGAGTTGTTACCCTTGTCAATGTACTTCTACTTCTTTTTATCATACTGCATTAAAATCGTTTACACTCACTTTAAGCAGGTATACATTGTATACATTAAAGAGACAGCTATGGGATAAAAGGGAATCCGGGAACCAGTCCCTAGCTCTTATTGAATAGACCCCTTGGTTCTTTTACATGCCCAGTGTATAGCACTGATACATGCGAGGATTACATGAATTTCTTACCAGTCCACCTCTAGGTAGGTGGGAAACACTAAAAGTGTCTCTGAAAAATCCCAAGGGTATAACCCAGGACCTCAGGAGTGATAATCGATGGTTAAACCAATGTATTAGTATAAAGTGTAATGGGAATGGACTTAGGATAAATGTTTTCTACCATCAAACACATATTTTGTGAACATTCAAGGAGTCTTACCCCTTTGGTTTTCCCCCCGGGTACAAACAGACACACTGTCACAGCTTCGAAATTAAGCGCAACAGGTCGACTAATATATTATGACCGGTAGTGCTGTAACGGTAAAAGTTTGTTTGTTTCTCCACTAAGGAGACGACATGCTCAAGATTATTTCATGTCTGTAAAGTTGCGAGAGGAGTGGACCAGAAGAGGTGCCAACAAAAATAAACAATGTAAATACGACAGAAAATAGCCATGACATGCGTAATAAATTAACATACTCTTCTAGAAAGTCTTGAAAAAGCTTTTGGCATCGCTCTCCTGTCTGATCCTTCACTTGATTAGTGCGAGCAACTTGTTCTGCAACATCCATTTTCACGCCAACAACAAAGACACTCTTTCCCGCGGTTTGAATCACGTGACTTACGTGTGGTAAATGTACCTAAAGAAAATCAAACTAACACAAAGAATCCATAGAAGTAAATACCAAAAACTAAGACGCTTATACAGACACAATTAAAACTTCTTTATTCAGGGTCTTTCAAATATTTGAAAGACCCTGCTTTATTTAAACAAAAAATTGTAACAGAAATAATTGCATGTTATGTGTTCAACAAGAAAAAGAAACCATAACCAGATGTAAAAACAAAATTGACTTTATAGACGCTTATATCGCTTAGTGAAAATATAATTATTCAATAATTAGGATTCTCTCTTTTGGGATCGAGTTGTATGAAAGCTTGGACTAATAGCAATGTTAACTTTGAAAAAAAAATAGGTTTCTTACACAGTACCATGTACGGTATTAAGTATTTGGAATCTAGTTGAAACCAAATGCAATAGTTATTTTATTGGTCAATTCCATCATTGTTTGTTTTGTTTGAAACCCATTCCCTTTTAAATTTGACATGACAAATTGGCCAAGAAAAAATAATTGGGGCCCGCGTCCCCCAAAAAAAACCCCCATAGGGGTTGGGGGTTTGCGAAAAAGGCATGGATCCGGACCACCTCCCGCATCCGCGCAGCCGATCAGGATCCATGTGTTGGTTTCCCAAAACTCTATAACAATTTAGAGGAAACTGATAGCGAACAGAAATGGATCCTGATAAAGACTGGGGGCAGAATGTGCGGGCTGGTTTTGGATCCATCCCTGGCGAAACCCATTATTGGTTTTGCCCGGGGGACGGACTCTTTACAAACTGCTGCTAAATAACATCTTCTGGCATTGGGGGGTAACTAAAAAAATGGTGGTGTTACTAAAAACCAAAGTAGTTTGTTTTTGGGAAATTTTGGAAAAAGCACATCCCATGACTTACACGGGGTTTTAAAAGAATTGACCATATTTAGAAAAGTTGTGGGGGCTCTGGTGCACTTAATAAAATACAGTAAAAATTAAAAAACCTGGGGCCCTCCAAAAAGGTTTAAAAACAACTGTCCCACAATTTTTCGGGTTTAACTTTCAAATATTTCCTTTAACCCATAATTCACGGGGGAACCCAAAGTAAAACCAGCCTTGCATCCACTTAGAGTTTAGCCCGGCCCTTTTCAAATCCAGGTTTCTGTACTGTTGGAAACTTCAGTATTTAAAATTATGTTTTTAAAATTTTCCCCTTAAACGGGGAAAAAGGGAAATGCTAAAAAAAGTCATAGAAGGAAAAAAACCCCATTACAAAATATTCAGAGGAAAGGGGGCTAAAGAAATTTTATTTTTTTTTTAAATATTTTTGTATTGGTGGGGGGGGGGTTTTGGGGTTTTTAATGTTGAAACCAATACTGTACAGGTCTATGGTGAAAATTCCTGTTTCCCTAAAGGGGCCCCTTATTGGTGATTTAAATTTCAAAAACCCAAAAAAAAAAAAAAAATTAAAAAACCAAAATCCGAGTGGGGCAAACCAACGTTCCTTAAGCTAGCTGGATAGTTTTCCTCACATGAAAAAAATCAAAATTTCCCTGGTGGAATTAGATTTTTTTTTTTTTGGGTTTTTACGTCAAAAAGACACAGAAATAGGTGATTTGGTGACGTTCCGTTTTTACTGGGGGGGAGGAAGACCTAAAAGGGTCCCCTTTTTCCGTGCATTTTTTTCAGGCACGAACGGGCCCCCTAAAGAAAGAACCCCCAAACCAACCCCTTAAAAGCTGGGCTGATATTTTCCTCACAAAAATAATCGAAACCAAAAGGGAAATTTAAAGAAACACAGCGGTTAGGGGCAAGTGGTCTGAATAAATGTATAGTACATTCGTGAGGTAGACATGTAATGAATGTAATAACATAAATGTAGATATGAATACATGTCAAATTTTAAAGAGAAAACAACACAAAATTAACAAACACTATTTTATTTCACATTACTATCAGCATTTATATAATATCATTATGAACAATGGCTTTAAAATGAGAGCGAATGATTACTCTAAAATGTCTAAAATCATCTTAGAAAAAAAAAACGAAAAAAAAAAACAGGTTCATGTGTAAAAAATTTACAATTTCAAGTGAAAGTCCAAGAAATTTTATGGCATTAAGTGTTTTACTAAAAAGTTTCACAATATTAAGAGCAGATGCTAAGAAATAACGCAGACATTTAAATAGCAAACTTCTAAAAGTACCAGTACTAAAGTAAGAAATAAATTTATATAAAATACCTGAATAATAACAGCCAACAGTGGAAGAATTCTAGCTCCATTTTTTTTTTCTATAAAAAAAAAAAAAATAATACCAACAATGGAAAAATATATCTCCAGCCTGAGTGTTTTGCATATCTCAAACAACAAAATTTTAGACCATACCACATGAATTATTTTAATCATTAGTAAGAACAGCTTTTTGTGAAAAGCACAAGATCTGAAATTTTTTATAATGGGGAAAATAAAGGAAAATAAAAAAACTTCCAAATGTCGACCAAATAAGATGTAAACAAATTTTCTGGGGCTGCTTATAACAAAAAAACACTAACTATAGAAGAGAAAGGGGTGAAAATAAAAATGACCCCTGTCACGAAAAAAAAACCAACAAAGTGCTTTTTGGGGACCAAACATGGATCCCCGACAAAACCCCGCGCATTTACCGGGAAATCTGCCAATTTCTATTAAAGTAGAGAAACTGGGTAGGGGAACAAACATGGATCCTGATCACCTGCGCGAAATTTGGGGCTGGGCTGGATCCCTCTGGTCGCAACCCCTTTTTGGTTTTTTTTCATGGGCGGCTCATATCTAAAAAACTTTTTTTTAAAAAGTTTATGGCTAATTTTTTTTGTAAAGTAATGATTAAAAATTTATTTAAAAACACATCAATTCTCAATTTGGGAAAAATCCAATGCCCCCAAAATTCTTGGGAAAAATTTTAACACATCCCCCTTTTAAATTTTTTTATTATAAAATGAAAAAAACATTGAGCAATGAAAGCCCCTAGAAAATTGCAAAAACCCATAATAAAATTTTTTTAAGAAATCATAGGATATTTGTCACATGCTAAAACTTCCTCTCCCATACTAAATTGCAAAAATAGACTTTTCCTTTTGATTTTCAGGGATTCCTATTTTTGGGGTTTTAGGGACTTTAATATCCAAAATTTCTTTGAAGTGAAAAAAACCCCAAAAGTAAAGGTTTTTTCAAGGGCCTTTTTGGCCCCGTTTCTTTTAAATGGCAAAGGGAAGTCAGTAAAGGGGCTTGTTACCAAAAAATTAAAAAGATTTATTTCTATCAAATAACCCAAACTTTCCATGTATTTAAAAATTAACTTTTTAACGGTTTAATATGAATCCAATCTTTTGGGATTAAAATTAAAAATACAGCTGGTTTTTTTTTTCCAACCAAAAATTATTAATACATAAACCCTTTTTTTATAAAAAAAAAACGTAAGGGTTTAAACAGTGAAACCCGTTTTTTTTTCTTCTTTTTAAAGTCCTACACTCTAATTTCACCTTAAATTAAAAAATTTTCCCTGTTTAACTAAAGAGGCTTTTTATTAATGCAGTGTTTTCCCCCCGGGTTTTAAAATTAAATACTTTTCCCTTTAAAGGGAATTTTTTTGTACCAATAAAAAAAAAGTGAGAACCCAAAGTGCCCACTGACGTAAGAATTTTGAAATGAGAATATAAAAGCCCCGCCAAAGACAAAACCAACATAGTGCGTTTTCTAACAGATCCCTGCTGTTTTTCTTACAAAAACCCCAATTTTCAAGGAGAGACCGATAGGGGAACAGCAGGATCCTTTATCAGACTGCGCAGGGTGGGGGGGCTGGCTGGGTCCATGCTGCTTTGCAAACGCACCTTTGGTTGGTTTTGTCCCTGACGCGGGCTCTATGGGGGACAAAAGGGAAAGACATTTTTAGCGGGTATGTACGCTAATTTACATTATCCCTTTATATAATAACCCGCATATTGTTTTTACTGTCAATACACAACATAAATATGATAATAATTGATTCGTAGATAAGTAATTACTACCATTTCATCCCTATATATCTATTATAGGTTCCTCCATCTTAATATTTTAGGAACATACCATAGTAGGAATAAGGGGTGGAAAGGTGGATTTAAAAAAAAAAAAAAAAAAAAAAAAAGAGAGAAAAATTACAGGGCAAGAGCCAATAATACATTTACATGAAACAACAGAGAGAAACAAGAGCTGTCCGTAAGACAGCGCGCTCGACTTTTTTATTGCTTGCCAATAAAAAAAAGTTTTTGCAGTAAAAGGCAATACAAGAATCTCTGTATTTTTAAAGTGAACAATGGCCATGAGCATTAAGATATTTAGTGAAGAATTATTTTACTGAATTGTGTGATACCCTTGAACACTGCAGCAAAGTTTGAAATGTTTAAGTCAAAAGAGGGCTGGTAAGAAAGAAAAAAAAACTTTTTTAGTGCTTGCCTATAATACAAAACATTGACAGTTAAGGGCCATAATTCAAATAAAATCTTTGACAGAATTACCTTCTCCTGGACATGTTTGGGAATCATGATTGTAAACAAGTATTCCAACTTTCAAATTAATATCTCAAACAGTTCAGTCAAAAAGTGGACTGGTACTAAAAACTTAACCAAGATTCTAAGTCGATAAAAGGCCTTAATTTTTAAAACAAATCCTTGACAGAGTTACCTTCTCTTGCGTACAGATGGGGGTAATGATGTGAAATAGCATTAAAAGTTTCAAAGCAATATCTCAAAGGGTTAAGGCAATAAGTGGATTTTACCCATATTCAATGTATTTTCTAAGTCAAAAAGGGGCATAATTCTGTCAAAAAACCTTGACAGAGTTATGTCCTCTTGTCTGTTGATGAAGGTCGTGATGGTAAACAAGTATGGTCAGTTTCAAAGCAATACCTCCAATGGTTTTGAAATAAAGTGAGGTGGTACAAAAAACTTAACCAAGCTCAATACACTTTCTAAGTCAAAAAAGGGCCATAATTCTGTCAAAAACCTTGACAGAGTTATGTACTCTTGTCTGTAGATGGAGGTTATGATGGTGAACAAGTATGGTAAGTTTCAAAGCCATACTTGTAATACTTCTGAAATAAAGTGGGGTGGTACGAAAAACTTAACCAAGGTGTGACGCCAACGCCGACGCCGGGGCGAGTAGGATAGCTCCCCTTTTCATAGAAAAGTCGAGCTAAAAACAGTGTCTGTACACCCTGAAAGTAGCAAACACCCTAAAATTTGAAAAAAAAAAATAATTTTTTTAGCACTTATTGCATTCATCATAACATAAAAACTTTCCTTTTCTAAACTATTATAAGGTATTTCTACATGTTTGCATATAAAACAAAAGTCCCCAAAACGCTTTACACTTCTTAACCCCTGATCAAAAATATGATTTTCCCCTTAAAAAAATCTGTAGAATCTTTTTTTTTTACTTGTGCAAAACACAAATGAAGCTGTTAACAATTTTCACTGTTTGCCATCAGTGTGTGCCTTATTTTAACATGAAGAAGTACCTTAAACATGAAATATTTACAGAAAAGTTTCATGGCATTATAGAATATCAAGACACAAGGAGATATTTCTCCCGTACCAAAACCTTATTCAGGCTTATCAGCATCCTTGACTCTCAAAAAAGAAAGGAAAACAACATTCACTTACAACTGTTTTCTTAAATCAATGATTTAAAAATCAGAAAAAGAACTTAATGATAAAAGTATTTGGTTAATTTAATGCAAACCAATATTTTCATTTATCACAAAGGGACCACCTTTGATTGACACTACATAATACAAAATTATTGAAAATGACAGCCGACAATTTCTTTGTAAAACACCCGAAAATTACTAAGCAGTAAAAGAGCAACAAAATGTGCCTTGCTGGGAAGTACTTGCCTAATTCTGCAGTCATAGCAAGACAGAAATCATCAACTACCATTATAATGTTTATTTAAGACAGCAAGTTCAATTCTATATATCAAATTAAAGTCTTAAAACACAAATATACCTGAAATGTAACACAATAACAAAGATGTATAAAAAAAACCTGCCATTTAATACCCTAAGGATTCTTAATGTTAAAAGCTTACCTACAAAACCATTGAAAAGGTAAATCAAGAAACCTCATATTATAATCATTACAAAATAATGCTTTATATATTTTTCTTCAAAATTTTACAAAATCTATTGTCAATCATAAAAAAAAAATTATCATGTTATCAAATTAATATTATCGTCAATGTAACATCATTATAAATTCATCAATCATCATCATCATCAATCATCATCATCTCTCTCTAACTATCTAAACAAACATTATCACCGGTAGACGAATGAGCCGTGTCATGACAAAACCGACATAATGGGTTTGCGACCAGCATGGATCCAGACCAGCCTGCGCATCCGCGCAGTCTGATCTGGATCCATGCTGTTTGCTTACAGACCCTATAACAAGTAGAGAAACTGATAGCGAACAGCATGGATCCTGATCAGCTGGTCTGGATCCATGCTGGTCGCAAACGCATTATGTTGGTTTTGTCGTGACACAGCTCAAATTAAAACTCTTGATCAAAAAGTCTTAAAATGAGAAACTTACAAAATGTTTACAATACATAATATTCGCATGCTGCTTTGTCAAATATTGTCGTGAATTGAGTGAATAGCTCAATATCACAACACTTAACATTTCTATATCTCATCATATTGTACATTCATCTCTCCCTACAAGCTACTCTTCATACATAAAACAGCCATGAAAATATTAAAGTCCTCATCAGTTAATATATAAATTTAAAGCCAATTTAACTCCGAGAGAGAGAAAACAAACAAAACCAATAAATCATATTCATCAAGTTATTCATTTGTCTAAAATGGTATTCATTCCTACATCAATTCAAGATCTGGGCAAATTAACAATTTTTTTACAAATAATAAGTCAAATTACATTAAATTAAAAGATTCCAAGATTAATTTCCCTATAATGAACCTCCCCTAGCTATTCCATTAATTGTATTATGTCCTTACTCTTGATCATTTTTTGATTTTGCCAATTAACTTGAAACTATAAAGACATTTTAAAGTGTTACATTTGTTGTATAAAGATCAATGGTGATTTTCAAGCTCTCTACAGAAGGAAGCCTGGTGCCCCTCTGTGCGTTATTTTAGCCACAAGCAGGTACTGAAGTAGAACCACTGACTTTCAATAAGCCAGCTGGATAGCCTAGACGGATCCACAAACATATTGATGAGGAACAGATGATTTTAAGTCGGCTTACTTAACCACTTGGCTGTGGCAGCCCTTTCTAATTATAATGTTACAAGATGATGACATTATATAAAGATATATGATTAAGATATAATACACTATGACACTTTATGTTATATAATTCAAGTTATTACCTACACTGGCCATATAAATGTCAATAAAATGCACACATACAGATATCAATTACAAAATAATCATAACTTTTATTCCCTGTAAGATGATATTATAATCAACAGTTTTGTGCAAATGAAATTAACTTCTCCACCATTCATGATCAATAATATTTAGATTCATTGTTAACCACTTAACCTGTGCAACTTCTTAAAGGGACTCCACTGAAGTTTTATGGCATGGTGGGGCTTGAAATAATTTTCTGATTGAATGTTCTATTGATGTAGGTCTAGACCAAGAACTTGTGGTCATTTGCTTACTCCATTTTTCCATACTGTTACTTTTAATTGTGAAATATGACCAAAAATTGGACTAAATCTGACTAAGAGTCACAAAAATACGATTTTCAACTTATTTAAGGGTGTCTCTCTTGATTATCTTGTGCATATCTTTCTGATTTAAAAGGCCCTGCTGATCTATGAAAGAAATTCAAATTTTAAAATTTAAGGCATTTGGACCTCAGTGGAGTTCCTTTAAATTAACTTGACCAGCTTCCATATCTGTAACTTTGGGAGATATCAAGTTATCAATATGATCATTAAAAGCTGGTTAGCCAACAGTATCAAGCCTGGCAAAACTGCATTGATAAGCAGGCATGCCTGGCTCTATGCTAGTGGCAAAGGTTTATATTATAACATTTGTTTTCAGAAGGTCAAGAGTTAATTTATCAGAATTTCTTGTACTATTGATCTATTTATGACAGAAAAACTTTAAATACTGATAAAATTACTGTGACAATAGCCTAAACAACACAAACTTGTACTGACAATGGCAAATTGTGTGCTCAAAGACTATATAAATGGAAGGTTTTCCCTGCCTGACAAAAAATCCAGTAAGTATAATAAACAGTAACTGATCTGTGTAGTTGAAACAATTCTAAAAACAAAAATACTGACGTTTAAACCCAACAAAACCAGCAATCCAAGGCTAGAAGACGTAAAAAAAATCATTAAGACCAATAAATACTTTAGATAAATATCAAATGTTCTCTTTTTTCTCCCCATAAAAATGTCAAACTAACAGAATATGAAAAAGACCGGTAAACATAAAATCCATCAAAAAAAAATTCTTGAAACATACAATAAATTATTTTAAAATATTTCAGTGTTGACATTTTCTATGTGTAATTTCCTAGTGATCTATATGAACAAATGTTTTGAACCAAAATCTGGTAAAAGAATATGAAAAGCTCTTTACAAAGCTGTTCTTTGACAGACAAGATTACAACAGACACATTTTTATGAGACTTTGAGAGACATTATTGAGGCCAGAAAGCATTTTGACACCTTACCTATAGGAACCAAAAGTGATTAAGTCTTTGCTACCAGTATAGGGCAAAGCTGGCATCCACCACCATGCACTCTGACCAGGCTCTTTACTATAAGCAGCTAAACTTTTGTATTCGGATAATGAAATCCCTTTAACTTTGAATGGACAATTCCAAATTCAAAGCTGGGCAAATTCATTATACAAATTCAGTGGGTTAAGGGTTTGATATATACAACATTGTAATGGCAGCAATTATACAAATCAATCAAACACAAAACTATTCATTAGAGGTCAACATATCAGAGGTCACTGCATATATATAAAACTGATTAATCCTATCTTCCCTTCAAATCTAAATGGAACATCCCAAATAAGTAAATCCACCTGCTCTCCTACCTATGAAAGTGAAAAATTTGGAACATTCCATCTCTACAATACAGAAGAGTCCATTAACTAGCATATGAGGGGTAAGACAGGTTTGAACCATTAGTTTTTTTATGAGGTATATTTTATCTGAGATAAACAAGACATAAGTTTCCCTGATCATTACCTGTTTCACAACATATGACATAATATCTGTTTTATTTTTTTATTTATTTCAGCAGAAATCTTAAATGACTGATTTTAAGGCCAAAAAAAAAGAAAAAGACTAACGTTAAAGTACAATGTTGAACCTTTTTTTGGAAATCTACCTAAATCTACCATTTTATAAACATCTTTAAAAAGCTCAAATAATATGTCAATGAAAATTCGTATGAACAATCAAAATATGAGAATATTGATAAACAAATAATATGTGTAAAAAACTGGTATGTAAAGGTATTTACTTATTTGACATTGTTTTTAAAGAGGGCCTTTTATTAAATAAGAATTTTATAACTTGAAACAGATCCAATTTGAGGTATACCTGTTACAATATATGAGCCAAGTTCACATTGTAATAAATCAGGTCAATCATATCAGGTTATAAAGAATAAAAATTGTATTTCTTCATGTAAGGCCCATTATGCCTCAGAAATGCTTTTATTTTTATTTCTCAAAAGCTTTTTAAGTTTGGTGTTCTTTTATAGTATCCACAAAGTAACTCATTGGCCAATTACCATTTTTTTTATTTGTTTCTTTTTGGCAATAAGTACAGTTATAGTGAAATTAGTATTTTGTATGGAAGTCAAAATACTCCTTTGTTTACATTTTTGCTACCTTTATGACAAATCATTTCACATTTATTGCTAATTTCTTCAGGTAACAAACATCTAACATTTTTTAAAAACATTATCTAAACATTATAAAATTTTCTTAGTCCTCCTAATTAAGATCCATATAAACATAGCTTTAAGTTAACATCCATATAATATAGCTTTTCTTAGTCCTAATTAAAATCCATATAAACACAGATTTTCTTAGTACTCCTAATTAAAATCCATGTAAACATAGCTTTTCTTACTACTCCTAATTAAGATCCATATAACATAGCTTTTCTTAGTCCTCCTAATAAAGATTCATATAAACATATTAGTCCTACTCATTAAGATCCATATAAACATCATATTTAACAAGTTTCCCTGTAAACATACCTTAAAAAATCAGTAACAATAATTGTGACCAACTAGACATAAAAACAACAACAACAACAACAATATATATAAGATTGTTCTACGTTCTAAAAAAATCTTTAAATACCAATTTCTTCTTCAATAACACTTTTGATTACTTCACGTCTTGTGATTTTTGTGTCAGTTTGTTTCTAGATGAATAAATAGAATTTAAAATAATAATGAATAGAACTTTGAATACCTTTTTAAAGAAAATATTAACATAAAAGACTTCTATAAATAACTTCCTTTGATAAAAATGTTAAGATTGTATATTGTAAAGCATATAAAAATTACATAGTTAAATTTTGAAAATAAGAATAAAATAAAATCGTCAATCATAGGGCTGTGTGTGTCCCATATTTTCATTATATAGCATTTTTAAAACACACAAAATGTTAATTCTTTTCAAAGATAATTGTCTTACAGTTCCACATGCATAGCAATTTTGAATAAAAATTAAAAATGTACCTGGTATTATTCCAACAGATTATTTGCAAAATTAGAGACATTTTTATCAACTAATGTACATCCCTTTAATAAGGAAAAAATAAAAATAATTAAGAATTTAAAGTGGCCAATGTCCTTATAAATGTATTCTCACATTAAAAACACGGGGCAAGTCAAAAATTGCCATGTGTTGTCCTGTTTTGTAAATAATATATATGTATACTAAAAATTCAAGGTAGCCTATAGCACATGTTTAACTGTATACTTATGACCCACTAAAGTAGCACAGCATCCAATCATTGTCATCTATATGCTGCCTTTTATTGTAATGCCTAATTTACAACATTAAAGTGATCTGACATGTCTCACATGGCACAAAGTCACATGACACTCCCCCCATGTGTGTCACATGATACAGAGCTGCTACATTCAGCAGGTACTTATCTATTTTGCCCTATTTAATGATTTGCATTTGATTCAAATAATGTGCAACAGGGATTTGGAAATCATCTTTAATAATCAAACAGTACTGTTTCTGAATTATGTGTCAATAAAATATTCTTACATGATTATATTATAGGACATTACATCTTACACAGTATGCTGAAACAAATGGATATTAAATAAGTTAAAATTCTTTAATCAAAGCCCAATTTACATAAATTATTCTGTTAAAATCACTCTACTTAACCTCAATAGTCACTGTGACTGTTGGTAAAGAGTCATCCACATTACTGCTGATTTACCGGAAGTCTATTGCTGCAGTCATACAGATTTAGAAACCATCTTCCTTCAGTTTAAACCTATCTATATTTCTAAGCTTAACTGAAAGCTTATTTGAATATTTTCCTGGAATTCACCAGTGCCAGTGTCATACGAGGAAATTGTGTTGAGACTTGAGTAGGGCTCGAATCTATGAGGCAAGACACTTTGACCACACTGTCAGTGCTTTCCATTTCAATATGTACTCATGATCTTTTAGAAGATTTTTTTTTATAAAAATACCATTGATTAATCTTGTAATATTGAAAGAAAAAAATCCAAACAAACATCTATTGAACCTTTAGCCTGCTGGTGCAGATTTCATAGTCTGGCCCTCACTGTTTGCTACTCAGTCATAAATTATTTTGAAATTTACCTAACAGTAATAAATTGTTTTGTGCCAATTAAAAGGTGGACAAGTGCACTTAAGATATTTGGGGTGGCAATGGTAATGTCAAAATTAAGAAGGGGAAAAAATACCACCCACTGTTACACATCACTTGAATCAACCTGTACAAACACAGATGCCTTGAAGTATCTACAGTAACAATGGTGACATTAAATTAGCATTAAATATATCATACAAATACTAACATGCAGTAAATATAATTATGTAAAAACTCTTAAAAGTGCAAATATTAAGAACAATCATCCGTACATGATGCAAAAACACATGTTTTTCCTTAATGTATCAAATCCTTTAAAATGTAACAAAAGACATTGTGTCAATTTTCAAAATCTAAAATGCCCTTCAGTATGTCACTAATCAAATTCATTTTAAGAGTAAAATTTCTTGAGTGAGCATTTAATTTTAACAAAATTCAACATTTTGACAATGTCCCGAGAAGATATTCTTGCTACACCGTATTACCAGTCAAACACAATGATAAAATTAAAGAGTGCAACCTGATCAAAATTTTAACATCCAAGTGTGTCAAAATACAAACACACTTGCTCAACATCACTGTCTCTCATTTATACAAAAACCCATACATATAAAATATTTAAATGTTGATTTTAATATATATGTCCCAGACAAAAATATGCATTACATAAATACATACTTAATCAGCACAGAAAGTCATTCCAATTAACACACTTCCTTCTGAAAGCGTGTAAACTCATTCCATGCATATATGTATGTCAAACATGTAGAAATCATCAACAATATTGTAACTAAATAACTTCACAAATCATGTCCACTTCTTAAAATGTCCAGTTTTCTTCCTGCAAGACGTGGTAAAATAGAATACGAATAAAAATTCACACAAAGTCCTAAAAATTTCAATGAGGTATTAATGCATGATATCATTAACTGAATAAACACACAAAAAATCTTGAGGTATGTAGTTAAATTTCCATAGCTACCTTTTAGCGGCATCTACACTTGTTGTGTGCCACTAGGAAATTAAAATAGCACTGGCAAATGTCTCCAGTCACTCTTTAATGTCTCTTTCTTAAAACTTTGCAAGAAAAAATCTATTTCTAAATCCACGAATATAAATAGAATGGTGTATTAATTAGGTAAAAGACATATTAATGACACACTGGCAGTTAAATCACTGTCCAATAAATGAAACCTGCATCGTTAAGATATAAAATAAAAGTTTTGTTGCCTTTTTATAAATAAAAACAAGGCCATTATAATGCGAGGTAACTGTTGTTGAAGATGTGTTCTGTTGTCCATGGCAACCGTTTTGTTCCCTGGTTACCATGGGTCACGATTACAGAGTCTGCACAACTATGGGTGATACAGGAGGTAATCCCTGGTTGGTATTTATTATAAGAGGTTGTTGTGAGTTGACAACACTGTTACTCGTAGCAAGGTTTGAGGTATTCATTGTCCTACTGAGTTGACATATGCGTTCTAACACACAGTCCGCCGACAGACGTGCTTCTGCATCATGATCCCAACATTCTTCAATTGTTGATGACAATGCATCAAGACCCTGAAATCAAATACAAATGAACAATTTTCACAATGTAGATTCTTTTAAAGAAATACTGCTCTCATCTTTCAGTAAAAGAATTTCATCGCAGGAATTTATGGCAAGTTTCATGCCCTATAACAAGTCAAGTAAAAAAGTTTGTCCTCTCTTAAAAAATATGCCAGGTTTTTTAATGACACTAAAATATTCATAATGTAAAATGTTTCTTGAGAAGTAAATGTTGATAATTCGAAGTAATTTTGAATGAACATTTATATGATTAGAACAATAATTTTGATCAAGAACAATTTATTATCTGCCAAATATAGAAATGTTATATTGAATCATGCATCTCATAATATGTGATCATGTATCTCACACCAACAACATATGTATATTTTTTATATAGTTATGGTATAACAAAACTTCCATTAAAACTAAAGTTGTCAATGTGTTTCTAAGCAAGTAACACACATAATAAATCAGATATATAACATACACTGATTCTTTATTTTTAATCATTTTAAAGTTTTTGTTGAACACAAGAAAAAGCACTATCAAGTTATATCTATACTTATTATTGCCAAAGATACCATATAACATTGTAAAAGATATATAACATTGTAAAAGATACCTCGTATCATTGAACATACAGTCTAATGGTCATTTGTCTTCAACTACTGATTCAGGAATTATGTGGGAAAAGTTGTTGGTCACTTGTGGAGACATTGTTATTTACTGGTAATTTATCCAGGTAGGTCGGTTAGGTGGATCAGTAGCCTGATTGGCCCAACAATATGTTAAAATTAGCAAAAAGAAACGAAAACAATGGGCAAGAAGAAAACATACCGGATGTTTTTGCCAGTGATCCTTGACTGAAGGTCGTACTTTATTGATGACAACTAACTCTTGCATGTCCTCTAGGGTAGGATGCTGCCCTATCTCCTCCTCAAACGGTAACTGATAATCTCCAACTGGACCTAAATGGTACAAGCAAAAAATAATCACAATAGATATAGCATTAACTCAAATTTACAAAATTACATCATGAACAATTCTATAAGTTTCTGTCATTACCAGACTTAGGGAACAGTTTTAACAGTGTAATGAGATAAACAACCATTAATATATTTAATCAGTATAAACCAATATTAACACCTTTGAGGGTACTGACTAAAGTAAAGATGGTCTATATTTGTTAAAATAGCTGGTTAATCTTAACCACCCAACTGCAGCATCAAGCTAAAATAAATATGTGTTAACTTTTGACAACAGCTACTTGTTATTTGTTAATTTTAAGAGCCTACCGTCTGCTGCAGTACACCTTGACATGATTTCCCAAAGAACAAGTCCACAAGCATACATGTCAATCCGCAAAAATGCATCTCTATTGAAACTAATAGCGCCCTCGAGCACTTCCGGAGCCATGTAACGCCTTGTACCAACCTAAAAATCATAAAATTGTTTTATGTTTATATGCATTATCAAAATTTGATATACACACACTTCTACAGGCTTTATTGATCATTGTATAATCACTAGTATTAGTCCTGTTACTGATATCCAACCCAAAAATATGTAGGTTACTAGGTATGAATATATATTCTTGCATGAAACTGCTTATTTAGGTATTAATAAACAAAGAAGAAAAACATGCATCTATAGATTTTGGTGAACATGCACCTTTGTTGCACTTTTTTCTTAAATGCAATGTAAAACAGCTAAATGCTATGACGGCTCAGATAATTTTATCATCAAAACATAACTGTCGAATGACATTGCACTTGCAGGTGGAAGGCATGTCAAAGGCAACATTAACCATTTCTTTATATGAAGTACAGATAATGAAATGTGGGAAACCAATTTAGACATACTTTTATAAAAGAATAGCACTAATACACCTTTTTTCATGAATTAACATCTGGACAAGCACAATGACACATTTAGTGCAGATGTGCAAGAAAAAGATGCATTAACTTTCTACTATTAGTATTAAATGTCTCTAGTTGGCAATTAAAAAATAGGGTAGGTATATGGACCTAAATAAGTCTTAATCTAAACCAGGGCCATACTAATTACTAAACCATGTAAGTTTTATTACATTGTCAATTGTTTTATTCTTAAAAAGTATTATAAGTTCCAAGTTGCTTATAAGCAGACAATTAATGACATTGAATATTTCCAAAAACTGTTTATCAGAGACAGAATGTAATTAAGTAAAAATCCTTAATGTACTAAAGAAACTTTATAAGTTAATGTTTTACCAGTCCATGTGTTTCTCCTGGGTTTTTCCCTGGTTCAAACTTGAGAGCTAGACCAAAGTCAGCAATGACTGCGGTGAGATTTGAAGTGATCAGCACATTTTTGCTCTTGAAGTCTCGATGAGCCACTGCCGGCTTAGCTTCCATGCCCCTAATTGGTGCAATCTCGTCGTGTAAAAATGACAAACCACGCGCTATTGATTCTGCCATTTTACACAACTCACTCCAAGTAACAGTGTTTCCTTTCAGATATTCACACAATGACCCGTTTTGTTGGAACTCTGTGATAAGCCACAACTCTAGGTTCAGGTTATCTCCCCTTCGCTCTGTACCAATGAACCGTAGAATGTTGTCATGACTCTGCATGTGAGGTAACCGATAAATGTCTTGCTCAGTCAACCATGACTGCTTGTCCTGAAGTGGAAATATCTTCACAGCTACAACCTCTTCATGTAGCTGTGCCTTCCACACTGACCCAAACCTACCACGGGCTCGTACCTCAACAAGCTTCAAAGGTCGAGGAGGATGAGGCGAAGGTGGCATATTATGAATTGGGTCAACTGTGGGTAACTGTTCATGATATTCATACTCTTGCCGTTTGAATCGTTTCCACATCCAGAAAACTAGAACAATAACTGCAGCAACTCCAACTAACGGAACAATGGAATAAATGAGGGTTTTTGTCAGTTTACTACTGGGCAGCTTTTTCATCGCAGTGTTGCCTTCTGAAAAACATGATTAGAAATAAATTGAAAACCACAACCAAAAAATTTTTGAGATTGAAAGACATTGTTAGGAATTAAAAAGTCTGTATTAAGTCTATATTAAGGTATGTATCAGTGATTTTTCTATGCCTTATACATGCTGTTTCCCAAAGCAAAACATGCTTTATTTTCCTCTAAAATGGAAGTTGACTTTGCTACATTCACAGTTGTTGGGTGTTTAATTTCAACCAGTTTTTATTCTTTTAATGGGCTATATTTTCCCCTTCAGAAAGTCACAATAAAAATCACTTTGTTTAAACCATTATCCTGCTGTAACCAGAAATGGTAAGCCTTGGTCACCAGTATAGATCCAGGCCAGCCTGCACAACTATACATTTTGACCAGGCTCTACAATGTTGGCTGATGAAATTTTCTGATACCCTAAAAATAATAATGGAAGCTGGACAGGTCCATATAAAAAAATCCACAGACAATTTGAAAACTACATCTGACAGAATACACCTTAACAATACAGAAAATTATATATTAGAAATAAAGAAGGCATACTTAATAACTTATTAAGCATCACAGCTTTAATTCACAGTCATTGTTCATAGCTATTAATGATATCTATATCTAGATAAAACATCACTTTAAAAGACAATTAAGTAATCAAATACCAGTGCTAGTTGGTGGTGACGTGGGTGGATAGTAAACATTTTTCACATTGTTGTTACATCTTGGGTCAGAACAGCAACAAAAATTCAGATGTTTAATTGATGGAGACTGCACACATTGCGAGTTGTTTACACAATTCTCCTCCACTGACCAACAACCTTTCATTACATATTCCACCATGCCATCTGTGCCTGAAATTAGAAACAAAGAAATTTTAAAGCTACTTGGTCGGCTTTATAATTCTCATGTACTATGTATCCCTTATAGATACTCTGTAAATAGACACACAAGAGACACAGTATGTCCACTACGATGTTTAATATCATATTTTACAGAACCTAGAATAAGATCAAAGTTAACATTCATTTCAGTGGTACAATAATCAACAAGCAGTTAAATTCTTAATACAGCTTCATTTTAATTTTAGTTTTACAAAAAATAAATATATCTTTCAAATGACCTTTAGGGTCAAAAACAATTTTTTAATTTACAATTCAATGTATTGGAAAAAGACACATTTAGCCATTTTAGTTCTAAAATGTTAACAACTGATATTAAATTACAAATCTTACCATTTTTCCAGGAAGCAAAACAGTAAGCTTTGGGTGAGCCCTCACACTTTTGGTAACAGCCTCCATTAGCACAATTTGGGTCATTCTTGTCTAAGCGCTCACATTCAATAACATTGACTGTTTCATCCTGAGGAGACGCACTTGCCCCTGCTGATAAGCCCCCTGAAGAAATAATTCAAATATGGAGAAGTACTAGTTTTATTGAGAAATTTATGCGTATTAGATAGTAAAATTAATTATAAATGAAGAATTTTCATTAGGTTCCCAAGTAACGGTATGTTACTTTTATAGCGAGCTCAAAGGGCCTGCTCGCAAAGCGAGCTTTACGATTACGCGAGTACCTGCTTGATAGTGATGGTTTTGAAAACTTTCATCCAAATTACCGAACTGACACATCGCAACTTTTTCGAATTACAAGATAACGATAAAAGCAAAGGTATTCTGATTGAAAACAGAAGCGTAGACTGGTGTCCTGCGCACTTATATGGGAACCATAATCAATTGATAATATGACAGGGAACCAGAATCAATGGAAACAGTGTAAAAAATACCAAATGACAATTTTAAAACGGAAATGTGAAATAAAAATGAACCATTACTTATTACTATTTCACGGTCAAAGTTAATCGTGCTTGCTTTGAGGCTTTGCCTTTTTCATATAACTATTTGGGCTATATCCTGGATTAGACCCCGGGGTCTTTTTTTTAGTGTATTATATACAAGTTTTACTCCTGAAAAAATACATAGGGGTCTAATCCAAGAGATTGCCAAGTATTTACATACAAAATATCCTTCATGGCATTCAAAGTTCAACAAAACAAATATTTTCTTTTTACATACATTGTCACAAAATAATTTACAGACAACAGAAAGAATAAGCGCCTGCTAGTCAGAATTGATTGCTAAGTAGCATATCCCTCTGATGTAATTAAATTATTAATTTATTAATTAACTTGTTAAACTTGCAAATTATCTCGACTCCACAACATAATTTTAACACCTTTAAAAATAGAACCTATTATAAATGTCACATAGGAAAATCAATTCTTATTGTTATTTATTTTTCTAGTTAATGCCTAAACTCACCATGGAGTAGAATTAGTATTAATATCAGCGGACAAGATAAAGGTTTGAAAAATGTCAACATGTTTGTATTCTGGCAAACAATCTTGCTTTTGTTTATCATTTTCATCGATTTTCAAGAAGATAAGGAACTAGTGTTGTATCCATGGGATATCTGCGGCTGGTTTTTCATCTGCATCTACCATTAAGTAAGCTAACACTCAATGAAATACTACAAAATCGAACGAAACTTTGTCAATTATAGTCCAAATTTGTTTCCAAACATCAAACATGGCCGACTTTCATTTCAGATGCCCGGATGTAAATATGGATTAAATCTTTTTTGTACCGTACCTTTACCGTGTGAAATGACTCACCAAAGCGAAAAATAACAATAACCTACCAAGCAATAACGTAAAAAATATGTTTAGCTTTCCGGTAAATTATATTTATCAACATATCAACAGAATTAAATCTTGTGCGATAATTTAAAATATTTCACACACTAGTTTGTCATCAACAAGTTTTACTCTCAACACGGTTTACAAAAAAAATACAAGTTGTAGCCTACTTTCTATCTATCTTAGTAAAACATTTTTATATAAAATACTATAATTTTAATGTAAAAGGTTAATTTTAGAATCTGTCTTTGACAGGATAATTTATTGATATTGAAGTGTGAACACTTTTCTGTTATGTTTCTATGAAAGCTAAAATACAATTATTGGCCGTATGAAATTTATAAATTTATCAGATCAGGTTTTTTTGCGCTGGAATTTATTATAATGTAAATATTATCTTCTAGATTTGACAACACTTGAATATTTCTTTGTCAGATACCATGTATGTTATCAAAATCGTTAAATTATCCTTCACCTTTCAAAATATAGAATGCAATAACAAAACATATATAAAAATAAGGTCAAGTATATTTGTTTAACTCTCTGTTTGTCGGACATCTCAACCACAAAATCTTTAATATTTAAGATTAAAATGTCTTAAGTGTGAAACAGTCTTCAGATGAAACGTCTTACATTCCATATGGAACAGGTTTATATTTTGTTCGTTTTTCGTTGACACACACCTCTTATTCCTCCTACTCATATAATTACATATGTATGATTAATGCATTTCTACCTATTAAATAATAGAGAGGTGCCCAACCGTAAACAATTATAAATCGGAAGAAACACTAAATAACCTTATCAACACTGTCGATAAGCAGAATAGCAACTGTTGAGTCTCCAGCAGAGTGAGGCTTTATCTATGCTTATATAGTTTCACCGTTCCTTTAATAGCGACGCATCAACCATTCAACATCCAACAGAGTGTATCTTCTGCACCCCCCCCCCCCCTAAAAAACAACAACAACAACAAAAACAGCATACCCAATCCATTATCATATTGTCATACATTTTCTACCTTGTTGCCATTAAAGATAACAAAAACAAACAAAAATGGTACTGACTAGCTTGAGAGCTCTTTAATCTAGGTACATTGCAGACATACGGTATTAGGATACGGAATTAGTTTTTATCTAGGATTCTGGTTCAACTTTCAACTACCAAAAAGAATACGGATACACAAAAAAGAGATTATCGGCGTTTTTTTATGGAACCAGGAAACTACTATGAAAACAGTTCATTGTGCGTAGATAGTTGGTGAGAGTATTGACTTTGTGCCTAGTGATTAAGGTCGCCAGGCCAATTAAGCTATTCAGACCATCTAGGAAAACCCGTCAAAGTGTTTTTTCTATCGCAGAATAAAAATCTTAAGCAGTGGTAATGATAAGGTACAATGAATGCAACTGAACATAAGAATGCCCAGGTTTAAAAGCACCCCCCATGATTAGATGCTGAAGTTCCTGTTTAAACTATTTAAGTCATTGACACACACATATGACATTATTTGAGTAAAGAATAGTGGTTAAATGTTGTTGAAGTTGAATTTATTGGAACAATAACAATAAAATTCAATTATTTGATATTAGAATCAGCGTTGAATGTCTACTTGAATTATCAAACGGTATACTTCAGCATCAGTAACTTGCCCTTTCAAGAAAGCAACAGTCTTATCAATGTAAACACACTGTGTATTTTAAAAAAAAATAATGTGACAAATAACAGCACCTGTAGCTACTTCTGAAAACTTAGCATTTTGCTCCCCACCAACACACGATAATATTTTATAAATAGTGAATACTTGCCAAACTTTACAGGTGTTTTGTCATCTTGAACTTAACTTGACATTTTGAATGACTTGCGATATTTTACGCCTGAAGGGATTATGAAATACTTTTTATCCTGATGCTTAAGTGATGCAATCCAATTTAGAATCATGTGAACTTAAAATAAACGATATTTATTTTTATAGAAATGTGTACGTGCACATTTTTATATGTTGTTGACTGTGGCATGTAGATTGTGAAATTCAATTCATGTTTTGATGATGTAGCGTTAGAAATTTACATCAGTTTATCAAACTAAAAACAATTTTATATCCTGACTTGGTATCCTAATGCTGTTCCAATTTTATCATTAGTAATTGTTCTTACATCATCTTACATCAAAGTGTGTATGTTTTCATGCAACTCGCAACTTTTTCTTATATATCTCGTTTTGATCATTGATATAGATGTATGTAGAATTTTAATTGAATTCTAATAAACAAGGAACTCAGCAAGAAACAAACCCTTTGTTTCTTCCATTAAACCAAGCCAGCAAGATACCTATTTCATCTCAATTACATTTGTTATTCATGAAGATATTTTCTCACTTTTTCTTGTTTACACATTCAACTATCAAACTAGTATACTGAGATAGAAAACTATATTTTACTTTTCAGATATGCTGTTTATTTTTTCAGAAATGCTGTTTTCGTTTTTCATTTATCAGATAAATAAATCTTCATCTATTCGAAGAATGACGTCACGCAGTTTGATGGTTTACGTGTGTCCGCCTGAATGCGTAGTGAGTAAGAGATAAAGCGAGTGAATAAATTAATGTTCGATTGATTGATTGATTCATTGATTGATTGACTGGTGGGTGGGTGGTTGCTTGATTGCTTGCTTGATTGAGCGAGCGAGCGAGTAAGCGGACCAGAGCAAGTACGTAAGTAAATAAGTAAGTAACTAAATAAGTAACTAATATGAACAAAACAACAAAACACAAAAACGTTTATACCGCTGGACGTATTAAAAAGTAACAAATGTTTTGTCACGTTAAAGACATTTTGTATTAAAGACCTTACTTAATAATATATCATATAATGAAGATAGGGAACACAGAGCGACGATACTTGAAAAGTAGCCCACTTTATCAATAATTTGGACACAGTTGTGCATGGACATTTATACATTATATATGGATAGGATGATAAACTTGAACTTTGACATTTTAAACTTTTTACTACCAGGCCACGTGCGCGCTAAACATTTCCACTACAAATCATACCATCTAAAATGTGTTACACTTAACGACCTCGCTTTGCAATATGAATTTGACCGATATTTAGTGCGTGCCTATCCCTTGGGAAAACAATTTAAAAAAACAAGAAAAGGTATTCATGTACATGTCAGTTAAAAGAGGCATTGACTCTTTCAAAATACCGTAACTGTTAAAAGACTAGTTACAGTTGCTTTACATTCTTTTGAATTTAAATTGCATGGGATGAATTTCCGAAGTCATAAGTCATTCATACATACAATATTGCAAAGATTTACGTAGGATCGTCACAATAAAAATAATGACAACATTTTTTTTTTCACAAAAAAGTTTTTTAATTCCGTTCATGATAAGTATCGTGTTTCATTTTATAACAATGATTGATGAAATACTGAAAGCTACATGATAATTAATGTTTAAACTGAACAAAAGCATGAATTTAAAATATTCAAAGACGTTTATTGCAAGTAACCCAGTGACCTGACCTATTTTAACAACAGTCTCGAATAATAAAAAATAGCACGTATTCCGTATTCATTCACTCAGGCATTCATTCTTCTTAACAGATTTATGCACTTTTAAATAAGCGTGAGAATAAATACCCGTAAAACATGTATTATTATTAATTGACATATCCGAAATAGCAATACATTGTCAAAATTTTCACATAATCACATGATTCCGCATTTTATCTTCATCAAAACGTTTAAGCATATTAACAATTATCATAACAATATGTCTCGAATGCTCAAAACTTGAAGAAAACACACACATACTCTCTTTTTACCAAGCGTGGAAGCATAAGTCTACTAGATAAATAATCCACATTGTGAACATTTGGTCATTTATTAGGTTTTGCGTAAAAATCTTATTCTAATGTTTGTTTTTTGTTGTTTGAATTTTGTGTCTGAAACAGTTTTGAACTCAATTTTGTTGCATCATCGCTGTGTTGATCTTCAAGGCCCAAATACACTTTTGAAAATATTCCATTAAAACAGAACATTGCCGGTTTTTGGTCTTTTACCTCGGAAACAATTGGCACAAAAAATGAAATAAATTAAATGAAAAATAAATCCTATTTTCCACTCGCATCAAGACTGTATAACACACACACAAAGGTTACGAGGTCTTGTCCCATAGTTTTCACATTTCCCACCTTCCATGTCACTGCAACCATGATCCACGCATCCAACCCAACCAATACTTGTACATAAGCAAAGTGCGAAGGAAAAAGATATTATTACTAGAAATAACGTTCTCCAAATTTCACGAAATAATTGTGTAAAATCCATTTTATTCTAGGTTGTATTCAACGCAGATGTATACCTGCAATGAATGTATGAAATATAAGAATAACATTTACCGGAATCGTTTTTAAAATCGGTGAATGAAAAAAGAAAAAAAAGAAACATAAGAGCACAATATATTGCATAATTTCAAACAAAATATCATTGTTATTATTAACCATCCACAATCAATTATCAATTGTTAAGCTTTATAATATAAGATAAATGTTATAGTATAAAATAAAATAAAGCTGTAAATTCATCACTTGTTGTGGGGAAAATATAAATGAATAAAAAAAATCACAAGAATACTTTTATGAAAAAAAATAATAAAAACACCCAACTTACTCAAAGTAGAAGTAGCATGCACGTCTATCTGTATGAAACGAGTGTGGTAAAGAGAATGTTAGTCGGTAAATAGCATGAATATGTATTTTATCATCTATACAGCGTGCTATTTTAAAGGTACTGCACTTAACATTAATTTTCGGTTGAATTATTATTTCGGTTGAATCGTTTCATATTTAAATATAACGGCGATCGTGCTCTGACCTGGACGAATCGGAATTAAGCTACGTTCTAACTACTTCCGCGTACTAAATTTATTGTTTACAACTTATTATTATTATACAAATTGCTAAAAACATAGGATTGGTTTTTCGCAGATAGTTATATTATCTTTGAGGACAAAAGATAATTTGACCACAAGGGATGGTCTTCTACAGTGTTCGGATGATTACTGAAAAAGTCATTCTTATTTGTTGCAATAGTTGGCAGTGGTTCAGTGGTAGGAGCTCCGAGACGGAGAAGTCTGGTTCATATCCTATACTAATTTCCTTTGGCAAGGTATTAACATTACATTGTTTCACTTTACATGGCTTGCATGGCCAAGTGGTTAAGGTTGTTGAGTCTAAATAACATTTTCTTCTTTTCCGTGGATTCGAATATAATTAGATTGGATCACGTGCTCGACAAAGGAAGGCCGAAGGTTTTTCTCAGGTGCCCGCTCATCCCTGAAAAATTGCACGAATGGTTATGTGAGGTTTTCCCGCTTGAAAGGCAACCATGTGACCGCAAGGATGTCGTCTTAATCACTGAAACACCAACAAATTATTACGATTACTAGTAGTTATTCACTTCACCTAGGCGCAAGGATGTTATAAATGTAGCCATAAGGTTGATTGCCATATTCGGAACGAAAGACTGCTTTTGAGAACGAGAGATGGATTTAAATAGCCCAATTGCGTAGATTGTTGTCAAGTCTCTGAACTTATGCCTGAAACATTGTTATTCTCTTTAAAGTGGTATTATGCCCATCTTATGGTATCTAGTGAGTGAACAGGTGAAAGTCAAAATAAGTTTACATTATGCTGTAATTCTTTTTAATATTATGATTTACTTCGCATGAATGATATATAACTTGTGTGACATTTATATTCATCAGAATTTATCTGTCAATTTATAAAAAAGAATGGGACTTTCTTTTTACATTTTAGGCAGATTTATATTTTATACAAAACATTTTCCAGTATCAACTGTTGGTCAATCTCCATTATAACAGTAAATCTTCTGAAATATATAGTCAATTCATCTCAACTTAACAATGACAAAAATAAGCAGAATGTCACTTTATACTTTATGTATAAAATAAAGGTGTGTTTTGTTTTAACAGATAGGTCACGTGTGACTGTACAAATACTATATGAAGTCAAATCAAAGATGGTTTTGTTAGCATATTTTTGTTTACCGCTTATATCGGAATTAATGAAATCATTGTATTTAGTGCTTTGATTTGACCGCTAGACTGTCGATACATGAGCTTTCTATTGTTTTGTGATGTTCTTTAAATGATGATTTAAATCCTCAATTTCATCTTTTACAATTTAGCCATTGTGTTGTTGCATTAAATGTTAATTGGTATGTATGTTTTATTGATTCATTCAAATGCAATGATTAGATTTAAATAAAGATTGTTACTGTTATATATGTAGACATGATACAAAAGTCGAATAAATATACATATTATAGATCTATATCTGTAGAATTCATTAGCAAATAGTTGAAATATTTTGTTTACGTTGTAAATAGACGCTAATAATAATGACAAAATAAACAATATAAACAACTCAAAAGAAGCGACGTAGGAGTGACTGTGGCTATTTTAGACTTAAAGTAATTAACTTAGCTGTTTATCTACTTAGGCGCTCGCACGCTTAAACACATGTTTCAAAACTTAAAATAAATTCTATTGGAGAGAATTTATACGAAATCAGAAAAAAAATCAAATTTAGGCCTCCTCATTGGACGAAAAAGAGCAATGAACGCGCGCGTTATTCTAAATCTGAAGATCATATCATTAGTTAAACCACCTTTAACAAATTCATGAAAGCACTTTGTGACCCTTCTTCACTGGGTATTACTAGTATTAGTAAAACAAAGCAAACAATAATATTTTGAATTAATCGAAATCATTTAAAAAAGAAATTAAAACAGATCAAAGTATGAATGATATTCACAAACGATAAAAAAAGCTTGGAACTGTTGTTTAATGCTAATGAATTTAAAAGTTTAATATTTGACTTTGATTTTTTTTAATTAATTAACATTGGAGAATGGTTTGAAGTGTTCAAGCATCTTCGGATAAATTGATTTGCCAATTATTATATTATAATTAACATTATTTATATTATTGTTAGTTGGTCAAATATTCCGGCGTCATAGCAAACGTACAAAATTCATCATTTCACATTTCGCAGTGAATGCATTCATTGTTACATTGTACAATCTAAAATTCATGGCCCTATATAAAATATTTTGCAATTCATTATTCAAAAGTAGGTGACAAATGATAATGTTTTAAGAAATATTTAAACTGTCATGATCTAATGAAATGATATATCTTCATTCTAGTACATGTAAATTATCTTACATCTTTTTTAATATATAACAGATAGAATTGCATTAAATGACAGTTTTTTGTTAATTTCCAAGCATATTACTAATAGAATAATAATAACTAGGCTTCTTATAAATATGACAGTTTGAAATGTTGTAAAACTTACATTTTGTGACCGTAAAACATTTGGGGGCTAAACAACCATCCCTTCTGAATCGGCATCTTTTGTAGTGTTGCAATGATAGGAGAGCGACATGCATAGTGCGATGGTATTAAGATCATTCACAACTGGATTTGTAATTAACTGGCTGGTAAAAAAAGGAAAACGGCGTACGGCGTTTATTCATTTGTTTGGGAGTGGTCTTCTGTCTGTAGATGTATATCGTGTTTTCATTCTAATCATGTTTTTAAAAGAATATTTGAAATGCGTTGTGCCTTTTGTAAATTGAAATATATATATCTCTGAGAATATGTTGAAACTAAACAAAAAAAAAAACATTATGAAAAAAGACCTACTGGAACAGAGCATTTATATTATATATATGTTTAATATGGAATACATGTAGTTTAAAACTATATTGCACGATTTTATTATTTATAATGATAACTATTAAAAAGACGTCCGAAATCGAAAATGATTTTGTTCTACAATTTTCAAATGTCGGGCATGATTTATATTCTTAACTTATGCAGAAGAATTTACATATTACCGGCATGTCAAGTGGTTCATTCATAAATATCACGTAAATTAGGTTACATGAATAATTTTGTAATAAATTAACTTTAACAAACGTCCTGTTAATAAATGATATAGTAGATTTTTACTGGCGTGTCACTGAACCAAAAACAGAGACTTTTTCCTTTTTTTTTCTTTTTCACAAAATAATTTTGCTTCATATCTTTTTCAAAAGTTATAAAATTAATTATATATTTCACACATGTATAGATATAATAAATATTTGAATTTGCTGTCAACATTACAACAGAAAGTATGTTATGTACTTTTACCGAAAAGGAACATTGTTGTGACATGTGTTAATAAATACTAATCAAATAAGGTTGTAAAAGTGATAAGGAAGAACTGAAAATATGTATTGAAGTAATTTTACTGAAGAGAGACCCTTTGTGAGATGTGTTAATATAAATCAAATAAGGTAATAAAAGAATCATTATGTTAACTAACAAGTCTTTGTGATCTTTATATTCTCAAAAGGGAAGCAAAACCGCAGTCTTCATATTTATACACATATGTTTGTGACAGGCAGTAACAGTTTATTGCAAATTGAAACGCGGAAAAAGCTTTCTTAAAAATATAAGTTCAGACATGCAGATTGGCTTGTAATCTACTTACATTGGACATCGCCATGTAATTGACAGACACACGACACAATCGCAACTTTTCTGCCCTTTCCGTCAGTCTTCGGATAAGGACCTCGAACACAATAGTAGGAATACACAGAACGGATACGGTATTTCGGTCTAACCTACACTAAGAAACTAAACATGTAAACAAATGGTAATCAGAAATATCAAGTAAAAGTCGTCCACCTAAAGTAAGTAAGTTCAAAGATATAACAGTAAACAATGCATTATTTATATACTTATCATTATGGTTGTAGAAACAGAAAGTACAAAATGCCAACCTGTTGACATTTAGTCGGATTTGTTTGAAATTGTACATCAATGGTCAAATAAATTAAAAATGGTTGTCAGACATATTTTCAATCATAAATGTACCGAATAAGACTATATTTTTCTTTGGATATAAACATTCGTTTTGCATTATCGAAGATAATCTCTTAACATCTGAAATCACGGGGTAGAACTACTTTCACTTTGTATTGTTTCCGAGGTTATTATAAATAATAGCCGAGGACATTCCGATTGATACACGATACGCACCATTTTATCTATTTCTCAATACAAATATTTTTTCCAGATTTCTCACACGACTTGCTGTTTATATACAAAAATGTACACATGGTCCTTTGGCCTGTTGAATTTGAAACAGTTTTCTTCTACAAGATGAATGGAATTTGTGCAACTTACGATGCTGTTTATTTACATGTACTTCATTACAATTTTATTGCAGATAAATTCAATTAAATTGCAAATAGATTATGAATTTTTCAACTCGAACTTGTTGTCAGTTAAAATAATTTGCAAAAGTTCAACATTGGCGAAGAATCAGCTGAATAGGATTGACACACATATGTTTTGTCTGTTGATTGTTAATTTTGAATAAACACATGTTCCTAGGGTTACGTTATATTTATTAACTACATAAACGTTTCTGTTGTTTCTTTTTAATACATTTTGTATTCTAAAATCTGTCAATCTCGATATCTGTTGAACAGAATATTTGTTGTATGTATTTACATGTTGTATTTGTTCATCAAACCTCCAAAAATGTGTATACGAAAAAACGTATGTATATATTTATATCTTGCTTTATACTTTAAATGCTGGCTATTTGTCAACGATGGTTTCAATATTTATCCTAATTAATAATATAATTGTTATGATAATGTAAATAAAATGCTTTTTTTTGTTATTTATTATTTATAATTATTTGTATAGAACGCAATGCCAATTTATGAAAAACATATTCAGTCGCCATGTATACAAAGGGTGAATGAGGCCTGCTCGAATTGATTTCTGTTGACAACCATATACATTTGAACGGATACTGTATATTACAATATCACGAACCTTCCAGAAATAGGCAAGTGTATTCTCCCTGTCGGACGTGGCAGTCAAGTGTTTTAAAATAAATGTTGTGTAAGCAATCTAAATTAAGACATGTTAAACGCATAACACAGATGACACATAATTATCAATGAAATGGTTGTAAAATTATGACCATTATTACGATCCATTGCATAGCAAATTGTTCAGTTAAAGATTAAAAATTATATCAATGGCAGTAATAAAAATGTGTCCGTTCGTCACTTTTGTGTTGTAATATTTCTTCAGGACATTAGGAATCATTGGTAACAGCACATAAAATATGGAAGACTTAATACTGCTGTTGAAAATCGCTAAAGCCGCTGATAGCGGACAGCATTTTGTGTTTTTCTGATGATCCCTTGTGAAACTGACCTTTGCAATTTTCATGTTATTTTGTTTTAAAAGCTTCCAAGGGTCCTCCCCTTTTCTGTTGTTAGTATATGCAAATGGCAAGAGCAAACAGGGGAGATCAGTGAAAGATAAGAACACTTTAATGACAATGTTAATTTAACTTTTATTTCTTACTTTATTTAAAGACATAATTTCTTGTAAGAATGCATGAATGGCAACAGCTCAAACAAAATATTGAGTAAACAGATTTCTATCCCATGTAAAGCGTAAGAAAATAATAAAAATGTATATAATAACACAAAAATATTATCAAAATTCATCCATTAAATGCAATGAATTCTGAACAAATGTAATAGAGAAAACAAACATAACGATGAAACACTATATTCATGGAAAGATGTTGAAAGTTAAACAGAAAGGCAAATAGAATAATGTTTTTCTTCTTTACATGATAAGTTCAGACCTGTTAATTTGTAGGCATAGTTTAGACAGCGAGCGGTTGAAAACGTGTTCTTTTCTTTTTTTCGTAGCATCCTTTTCTTCTTTTTTCTATGTCTTATCTTAAATATATTTAGATGTTAGATTATGTCAGTATCAAAATCTTGATTACTTTAACACTTCCTTTTTTAATGAGTTCTTTTTACATGTATTTGAGATGATATAATGATACATTTTTCCATTTCCAAGTTTTAGATTCTATTTTAGACTAAACGGATTCTGCAAAATTATCATTCATCCGTTGCTCAAGTCTATCTTCAAACTCAATTTGGTCCGATCGAAGTAATTCCATCAGCGAAAACAATGAAAGCACGAGGTCTCATATTTATATGTCAGTGATCTATAGTGCAAACACATATATTTCTTGGTCTTCTTCCAACATTTTGACATGTTCCTTCTTCATATTTTGAACATCCATTGTCCACACACCCAACCCAACCGACACTTGCACACAGGCTGTAAGCCAAAGTCACAAATAATAAAACTAACACTACTGTTTTCAATATCCTGACACACATTTTTGATATATCCATCAGTTCTGGCAGAGTGATATTATTTCACACACCTTGGTTTCTGTCTATTTCTACCTAAAAATATAAAAAACGGCATTAATGTTCTATTCTACTGGAACGATAACCTTTTGTCATTTTTTTTTCAAAAAGAGCACACTGCTTTATCAATGAAAGTATTTAACATTTAAATATTAGATCATATACGTTTGCCTGTTTCTTCTTTCCCTTCTCTTTTCAAACTTCCTTTCTATATTGTGTTCTCAACAAGCTTGCTTACTTACACATATATGTGTGTTTCTCATGACAACGGTTTAATAACTAAAAGATGTTCGGACCCATGCCTGTTTGATTCTCTATAAATTGGTGCTTTTTCTCTTATAAAATACGATTATATGAACTCTATCAAGCCCTCTTTCGTTTTTATGATTTCCTGCTGGTTATTTAGTTGGGAATAAATATTTTTTAAGAAATTGTCAAAATGGAAACTGAAAAGACCGCTCAAACTAGAACGAAGTTGTAATGATATCAATCTTAAACAGTTTTGTTAGTGTACGGGTATTTATTTACAGTGCACTTAATTTAAAAGAAAATAATTAATTGTCTATAAAAAAAATGAAAACTGACAGAAAAACAGGCAAATACTCAAAGATATTTTTACAGATATAAAAACATAAGGTAATAGTATTGTCTCTTCTCAATAATAAAGTAATAATATTAGTTCTATGTTTTAGAAAGCAATTCAAATGTGTTTCTGTTTAAAGAATATGATTATAAGTATTAATTGCATGAAATAAAAGAATCTATTTTCAAAAAACATTTTTATAAATAAATAAATAAATAAATGAATAAATAAATAAATAAATAAATAAATAAATAAATAAATAAATAAATAAATAAATAAATAAATAAATAAAAGTTTTTATTGCATATCAGAAAGTATGATAAAATACAAATAAAGATGATTTACGCACTTTTTATATTCTTTTTGAAACTAAATGTAATACTGAGAAACAAAAAAAAAAGCAAAAAAAAAAAGAACACGAATAATGCAATTTCAGTTGAGTTTAGCAGTAAACCGTTTTTAATTTTGCTTTTATTAAACGTACGATTTTGCAAGACAATTGTCACTTTAATTAAAGGTACGATTTTGCAGAACAATTGTCATTTTAAGTAAAGGTATTTTTGAAGCAGAGAATGAATTAAAAATTTGAAAGATTTAATTGATATTGCAATTTTATATTTGGTAAATTTATGACTTTAAGATAAAAAATATCTAACAAAAATTACACTAAACAAAATATGTCTTTTGATAAATGATATGAATTGATCTTAATTTTTATGATTGAGTCGTCTTCACTTTCTAATGCAAATATTTCCCGTTTCTCTTTTGGGATATCAAATTGATATTTGAATCGCGTCACGACAAAACCAACATAATGGGTTTGCGACCAGCATGGATCCAGACCAGCCTGCGCATCCGAGCAGTCTGATCAGGATCCATGCTGTTCGCTATCAGTTTCTCTACCTGTAATAGGGTTTGTAAGCGAACAGCATGGATCCTGATCAGACTGCGCGGATGCGCAGGCTGGTCTGGCTCCACGCTGGTCGCAAACCCATTATGTTGGTTTTGTCATGACACGGCTCATTTTATTAATTTAAAATTACAATGTGGACTATAATTAATAACTAGTAACTTAATAACGAGCTATCCTTTCAGAAATTTTATAATGTTTTTAAAATATTGAACATGTAAGCATGTTCACATAAGTTAAATAAATCAGTATCTTTAGAAAATTAATTACTTCGGCACAGCCTACTTTTGATTTCTAAAATTCTTACCTTGACGATATTCCTGCGCCCGACAACGTTATAAATAAGCTAAAACCGCAGGTGAATATTTCGACATAATTTTGAATAAAACGTGATGTCAAGTCAACCAGCCAATAGGAATTTAACATACTTTTTATCTGTCCAATTGTTATTAAACGGACATTGCGGTTTTTTATTGACAAATATTACTAAAAAAACACTCAAAAAGCTTTTAAGCATTTGCGTATGAATTATGTTAATTATAAAGGTCTAATTTTGACCAATATATCTTAAAGGTATATGTAGCTATATAAATTTATTAAACATTTGCGTTATAAAATGACAGACAAATTATACATATGTAAGGCGGTTGTCCAAAAATTTTAAGGCTTATCACATCATTTTAGTCTAATCAGATAATAATAATAATAATAATAATAATAATAATAATAATAATAATAATAATAATAATAATTAAACTATATTATAGAGGAATGTTATTAATGCCCCTTTATTTGTGTATAAAGAAGCACGTGAACGCATTCATTGCCTAAGCCCCTAAAATGTTCTTGCATTTATGATCATTTGAACCTTGCAATATTGATTAACTTTCATCTTTTGTAGATATTGTGACTTTGCTATTAAAATGTGTTCGATTTTCTCTAAAAAAGGTGAATTACTTAGCAGAACATAACGGATATATGTAAATATTTTAAGACGCATTCCTGTTTAGAATTCCAAAAAGAGGCTATGCAGTAACTATTACAATGTATAAAGCATTGTTCAAATTTTTCAAGAAAAAGATTTTTCTCCCCACAAAAAAACATTTTGGGATCCTTTTAAGGAAAATCCAGTCAAATTCCCCGAATGAAAAAAAAAATAAAAATTTTTCGTACTTTTTTTTAAAAAACCCCCATAAAATTTTTAAACACTCAAACTGGTAAACTGCTTTAAAATTCCCCAAAATTTTCTCGGGGTCCTAGTATACAGTATTTCTCGAAAAGTATTCACCTTTCCAACGAACTATTTTGATGATTGATTTTTTTTATAAACATCAAAAATTTTCTTTTACCAAATGTACTTAAATGTTTTTTAATTGCATCTTCAAAGGAAAACATCCGTAACAATAATGATTGAAAGAATTTAAAAATTGTTCTTTAAAAATATTTTAACACGCTTCGACATTTCCTTATAAACGATAAGCTATTCACGCAAAAAAAGTCAAAATTCGTAAAAATAAACCCAAAATGACGAAAATTAAGAAGAAAATTAATTCTACGCTCAAAGTAGTTCAACATATTTTAATAATTTTTTTTTTTTCTTGGTGTTTTAAATTGAATAATATTAAATTTCTTGCATAAAAGTATAAATTTCCCCGGGTTATTAAAAAACTTTGTAAATTACACTGGGCCGGGACGGAAGAAATCTTCTGTCCCCGCTCAGACTTATTGGCCTTCGTGATTATATTCCTGCGCATTTGAACTCCGACCCTGCATTATTCTACATTAGTGCACTCAAAATTGATATTAGGACATAAATATCAATTTTGAGTGCATTGTTGCAGAATGATGCACGTTTCGAGTTCAAATGCGCAGGAATATAATTACGAAGGCCGATAGGTCTGTGTGATTAATACGATAAACCGTGCATTATTATACTACAATGCAGGAAAAATTAATATATATTTCCATTAATACATGCTAATAAAAAAGAGCATTGATAAAATATGTTAAACTACATTTAGCGAAAAGGTAATTCTTCTAACGTCATTTGGTTTATTTACGTCATATTTTACGTTATACGATGACGTACAATCATTCGTTTTTCTTGTGCTGTGCATATATCGGGTAATAATGCACCTTGCAGTCCTGTATGATAGTGGAATAGCGTGAAGCGTGTCTGAATAAAATGTAATTTTTTTTTTGATTTTGGGCATACTTTTTCCCAGAACTTTATGCAAGTTTATCTTCAGTTTATTGTTCAAGTTATTAAATGCCATGGTTGTGGATATAAGTAGCACATAAAGAATTAAATACAAATTATAAATATAAAATATTTTACACTGATGATTTCGCAACATAAAGATTCATATACTATTTGTGAATGCAAGTCATTATTTGTTTATACTTGTTTTGATGTAAAGGTAGTTAAGTGTAGCATTTACTTACGCATGTAAACTTACGCATGTAAACTGTGTGTGACCGCATTTAAGTCACGTATACAAAATAGAAGTTTGTAGTATTGCATCATACACTCATGGTGTTGTTGCGTTGATTTTGGAAAATATTTCCAGCGTCATAAACAACTTTTTTAATTGACGTAGTCGAACAAAAATTACGTGTTTTTTGTGTTGTTGTTGTTTATTTATGAAATGCGATGCTCATGAATGAATTATGCGTGAAGTTATTTAAGATTATGATACTTTTTATCTTGTCTTTCAATTTAATTATCGCTCCTTTGGTATGTTTTATAGCGAATATATCCAATCAAATTATAGATCGTTTCGTTTGATTCAGTTTTATTTCGTAGTAACTTAGCAAATCATTAGAATTCAAATTCAGTTCAAGTGAAATGAATTATTTGAAGTCATTCTTAAGTCATTCGGAGAAGAACTATATAAGATTTCACATCTTTCGTTCTAATCCATTTCAAACATTGTATATATAGAATAAATGTATATTATGTACTGTGTATGATTATGAAAAAATATGACACTTAAAAATAACGTATGAATTACTCCCAACCCAAATTATAATAATGATAATAATAATTAATAATAATATATAATAATAATAATAAAATAAACGCAAATAATGATAATAATAATAATAATAATAATAACAACAACAACACCACCACCACCAACAACAACAACAACAACAATAATAATAATAATAATAACAAAAATAATAATAATAACACCATCACCTACACCACCACCACCAACAACAACAACAACTACAACAACAAAAACAATAATAATGATAATAATAATGATAATAATAATGCTAACGATGATGATGATGATAAACGAAAATAATAATAATAATAATAATAAAAAACCCAAATCATAATAATAATAATAATAATAATAATAATAATATTCCCAAATCACAAGATAAAAGTATAACACTTACCTAAGATATTCTCAGCTTGAATCCTTAGTCCTTTCAGAAATAGCTATTTGTTGTGAAATCCCAGGCAAAGTTTCAATAAATAAGCAATATTTTTCATGCTATTGTAAAGTAACCGAGAATGTTTGTGGTAAGTGAGTTATGCAGGTACTAGTTCTGTATCTTCAGTGTATGCCAATCTTTTGCTGTATCTGCACTTTAAACATACCAATATGTTAGTATATCAATATCAAAACCACAATTTTTGTTTGATGTATATTTCCATTCCCTTCCTAAATAATTTGGGTTGGTCGAAAATCGATGGAAGTTTTCAATTTTGCGGTGTTGGCCGGTCTATGAGGGTTCAATTTTTATCTATTTCGTTTTATTTTCAAAGTATATCAACACTGCTTTGGCTGAATGTTTTCAGACTTAAACAAATATATACTTTGAGTTACTTTGAAGTCTATTTATTTTGCATTGAATCGAATGTCAACATGTTAAACTCCTACACTGGTTTGTGTTCCCAACTAGATAAGTTACGGTGTATATATCTATTTTGTATCAAAAGTATAATTGTTATTCCCCTAGTAGAGTTGCCAGTACTCCCCCACATCCAAAACGATAAATACTTTCGTGTAATATATAAATGGGGAGGTAGACATCAATAGTTTTATTTCTACCGGTGTATCGAATGCACTTTTAACAGTATTTCGTTGAAACTTCAAGTTTATAACTTAAACAATTATTTACTAATACTAATTAGACTGAATTATTTTTCAAACTTAAACAATTATTTACTTATACTAATTAGACTGAATTATTTTTCCAAACTTAAACAATTATTTACTTTGGGTTACTTTTAAGATCAAATCGAATGCCAATATGTTAAAAATCCAGCACTCATTTGTGTTTCCAACTTTAAAAGATAAAAAATAAAGAATGTAAATATGTGTTTTTTTTAAATATCATCTTTATTCCTCTCAGTACCCGCCCCTCTAAAAAGATGAATATTTTCGTTAAATGTATAATTGAGGAGATTGACGAGAACGATTGTTTTAACGGTGTATGGGAATTAATGTTCACTATCAAAATGGATTTTAGTCGAATTCAGAAAAAAAGGAAAACTTAGTTCCTTCCTTTTTAAAAATATTTTCGATCGTAAAAAGACGGACTTCGTGTATGACAAGGGTAAAAGTTGGGTTTTAAAATTTCTAATCTTTTATCAGTTACTTTAATGCATAATATGAATTTCATAGATTATACATTAGCGAACTTATAACTAAACAAACAAACAAACAAAAAACAACAACAAATAAAATCAGCAAAAAAGACATTAAATGCAAAGGAAGCTTAAAAAAGATACGAAAGATGTTTTACTTTTATATTTTTATTGCTTTAACATTGTGTGCATTGTATCCAGTTTTCCCACCTAACAAGTTAATGTTTGAAGCTATAGATAATCAAACGTGTTGTTATCACAGTATAATCTTCAAAATATTTTATCATTTAAACCAAACATCAGCAGGCCCTGTACTGAACACAAATCATGTTTAATCAAATACTGACAGTTGAACACTTAGGATGTTAATAAATTTTGTTTTAAACTTATATTTAAGTATATTTAATCTATGTTGGGTAAAACAAAAAAGTGTATCAATTTTCTATGCATCATCGTCATATTTTTGTCAAGAATTTGTATTTTTTGTTATACTTTAATTTGACATAGATTCTCTTTTGATGTATAACAAATTGAAAACAAAATCTCAGTACATCTTAGTACTATTTTGTACGTTATTTTATTTTATCAAGCAATGTTTCACCTTAGAATTTCGAATTTTGATTACATAAATAATTTTTGTTCGGTAATCGTTTAGAACGCAAACACGTGTACATGTATCTGCCTCAACAGCATGGCAAAGATGGTTTACGACGATTAACATGGCATGGCGTTATGTTCGGAAAGTGTGAAATTTCAGGCCGGGCCTCAAACCATGAGTCAGCCTGCCGATTACACGGGAGAAAAATACAGTTAACACAATAGCATGACATCATTCATGCTCTTACTTTTATTAACACATCAGTATAATTTGTCCTGACTTTATTGTACTGTAATTTTTTATTTCAAATATCTTACTAGTTTTTATAATATTATATTAATTGTCCGACACACTATTGAATGTAAAATAAAAATGTAAACATGCTAACATGCTGTGCACCATAAAATGCGTTATATAATATGCAACATGATAAATGTTCAATGCTGCAATATCTATATGGAAAATAACAAGCTTTGCTCTCTTTTTTCCAGAACAAAACTCCGAAATGTTTTCAAAGATTGTGTGTATTGTTATAACATTTTCAACAGTTGTTGCAACGGACATTGCTTCAAGTAAGTTTACAAAGTGTTTTCAAAATGAAAATATTTTCAACTGCAGTGGTCAAGAACTTTTGACATTACCTGAAACTGACTATATTCCATCAAACATAGCAACATTAGACGTTTCTTTTAACAACCTAGTGAACATCTCTTTCTTAAATTACCATGAATTAAGCTATTCAGTTTTGACATTAAACTTGTCGCACAACAGGATATCGGTGATAAGTAGCAATGCGTTTAAATCATTGAACAATACTTTATACCTTGATCTTTCAAATAATCTGGTTTCTGGCCATACCTTAAAAGACATGGATTTGTCTGATTTAAGACGGCTTCGTCACCTTAAGCTAAGCCATAACCCACTTAAAGTGATTCATTCTGATACTTTTAACTTCTTGGAGTATCCGTCGGTGACTTATTTGGATTTGACTAATTGTGAAATCAAAGAACTTGAGAGTGAGTCTATGGAAATTCGATCACTTGAATATCTTGACCTGAGTTGGAATCAACTTGCTGCATTTAAAGAATCCTCATTTCACATGATGCCAAGTTTGAAGACACTGGATTTGAGTCATAATTGGATTACAGTTCTAAATGAAATGCCATACATGCCGGAGTTGATCATACTGAGTCTTGACAACAATGCAATAGAAACAATCGCCATCAAAAAACGAATTGAAGACTTTTCGGATAACTTGCAAGAATTGTATTTAAGGTAAGTAATACTCGTAAATCGTTGCAACAAATGTAAACTTTTTTCAAACTAAACCCAATGCACTCTTATTTTTATTCTAGTAACTGACGTATTGTGTTAGTTAAAGTATATATGACATGTATTTCTTTAAAGCAAGTTACCGTTTAACAGAATAAGTAAAGCTTTACAAGTTAAGAACTGCGATTAGCAAAAGCTTCGTATCTTTAAATTTTCTATATTTAATAAATGTACAATGATTGATAAAATGTTAAATTCCAATTTAATACATGTTAACAATGGATTTTGCACAGACACAACAATATTCTGCGATTCACTGCTGACAGCTTACCGCTCCAGATGGATTCACTTTGGCTGATTGACTTGTCAAACAATAGACTGCACTGTGACTGCCGAATGAGGTGGATAAAGGCTGGACACTACAATTTTGACAAGAAAAGTTTCACATTCGAGTAAGATAACTTTGATATTTTTAATTTTTCACTAAATACTCAGTTTTTTAAATATATATTTTACTCCGGTATTACCAGATTGGCACATCTTTCGGAATTAACCATAAACTAGGTCAAAATAGTCATCATCCATTATTTGCCTAATGTTGACCAACGATGCAAAGGTGATCATACAGCGGTTATTTCAGCTTTCATTCGAATCATCTGACAAAAAATTGCAAAGTAACATTAACATTTGATTATGGGAAAGTCATGGTACGGTTCGAGTGTTTATTGGATCAATATATCATTTTAGGACAATTAATTGAATAGTCATTGAAATTAAAAATGAGAACAAAGCCACAATCCCGAAATTAGCCCGCTTTCTAAAGCAGGTCAATATCTTATCCTTTTTAGGCATCATTTAAATAAAACTTTTCACAATTTGAAAGTTCACAAATGAAAGTGAATAAAGGAAGAAATGTAAATTTAAAAAAACACAAAAAAGAGAATTCTCAAACATTTTCTTTATCATTTATACTTTACTAGTAAGGACTGTCAAATATGTTGCATTTTATTAATCTTATGTTTTTTTTTTGTTTTCTTCTTCAGATGTTCCTATCCATCCAGCAATAGCGATCGTGATTTGTTGGCACTTAGTAACGAAGATTTAATATGCGGCAATCATCATACGGTGAAAACTCTCTTTATCTTGCTGATATGCAGTGTATTATTTGTAGGGTTTTCTCTATCAGGCTTTTTTATAATAAGAAACCGTCGGCGTCGGAAGAAGTTGAAGAGAGCAGCTGCAGAAGATGACAGCGGTGGTGATTACACAGCAGTATATATTCGCGATGATGATGATCAAGCTACAGTGTCATTACCGGATGATAAACATCTCTTGGAAAATGACAAAAATGTAGAATGTGATGTTTAATAATTTGGATGAAAACTACCTTGGATACACGATCTTACGACTCTAAATTGAAAGTTATTGTCTCAGATAAAATACCACAAAATATAAAAAAATGTTTTCAGGATAGGGTAACTTACTAAGGATTATAAAAACTAATAATGGTCTTACAGTTGGCACTGTTACCATGTAGCTATATAGTAATGTCAGATATATAAGTTATGAAAATGTAGTTCGGTAACCAGATGAGTAAAACATGTTTCAGCATTATTCTTGTTTCTTTAAACAATATTTGTTTTTAATTTCTATATATTTATAACAATTTTAAAAGTCAAATAAGCTGATCCTGAAAACTGAATTTTCTGTTCACAAATATGTATGAAAAAAGAAAAAAAATCATTTTAAGTGGAAACGCTCGTTTGTTGGTCATTTCTTACATTTCTATAAATATTTCTTTTAAATAAGACAAACTTTTAACTCAGATAATATACTGTTCAGATGTGCTGTTGAACCTTCCGTAGAACGGCAGATATCAGGATAAAGGTTCCTTTTAATTACTGTACTATCATAAAAAGCACATCCACACGAAAACACGCACAGTCACACTGAACAGTACCCCACGGCTGCTGGTTGAAATCAATACTGAATCTTAAAAGCAGTTCATTGTGTTACCATTTATAAAAGGTAACATAAATGGTATTTTATAAACTGACATATTGATAATTTTGTAGATGTAAAGATAGAATCATAACAATGCTAATCGCACAGGTAATATCTATTATAATAACCGATTATCAGTGTGTTTAAACTTTGACCATGATAACAAAATTATTGAGGAGGACCTTGAAAGGAAATGACTTTTTTGTTTGGTATGTTTTACTATTATTCGTTCGCTAATTTTATGTATATGTTGGATAAAAACGGTTATTTCATATTTGTAGATACAAAATTGACTATTTTCCTATACACAACTTTTATACATGGCTTTTATGCTTACAAATTGATAACTTAACAATTTACACAAAATGCGTCAAATAAAGTCATGACTTTTATCAAATTATTGAAAGATATCAGGGTACAGCAATCTCTAAAGTAGGGCCTCAGTCGAATGAATGACAAATATAGATGTGATGTTTGAAATAACGTCATCCTCTACATCGAAAAACAATATGCAATGTGTTAATGGCTTAACTTTAAAAAGAATCTATGTAATTTGGTAAGTTTAGTTTTTCTTCCTTTTTTTTAAAAAAAAAATTCTTATGTGTGGTAAATTGATTACAGTATAATTTATTACTTATGATAGAAATTATTTTATATCATATTACATAAATTAAAGGCTAAACATCCATTTATTTGAAACTACTGAGTATTGTATAAATATTTTTCTTACTATTATATAAGTTATATCAAGTTACAACACAATTATTAATTGTTTGACTACATCAAATCGAAGAGTTAAAATGATTTGTTTTCATTTCAGTTTGTAACTATAAAATGGCAAATTCCGGCATGTGGTCTGTTTTTCTCACCCTGTCTGCGTCTGTCTTTGCGTTGACGGCAACGTCGGACAGTATATATGGGGAATGTGACAACAGTAAAAATACATTTAACTGTAGCGGTGTAGGATTGACAGAAATACCATCTGGAGACCACATCCCTTCTTACATGGAAACGTTAGATTTATCAAACAATCATATAAGTAATATAAACTTCACTGGTTACCCTATGGTAGGTAATGCATTGACATTATTAAATTTGTCAAACAATCAAATATATAAGATTAAAAGAGATGCATTTGACCATTTTACAAATCTAGTGACACTCGATTTGTCCAAAAATCTTATCTTTGGACCAGATTTGGAAGAAAGAATGTTCAATTATTTGAAGATGTTGAAATATTTAAACATGGAAAGAAATCCTATAAGACATATAAAAAAGGATACGTTCACTTTCTATGAACTTCCTTCTATAAAGATTTTAGACCTATCTCATTGTGAAATAGGCGAGTTGGAAGCGGGCTCCCTTGACTTACCCCCTTTGGAACACTTGGATTTAAGTTGGAACAAGATAGGGAGTTTCAAGGAGGATTCGTTCCGTATGCTTGTGAGTCTTAAGACGTTAGACATGAGTCATAATAGAATCAGGGTATTGGACGAGATTCCTCACATGCCTGAACTCGTGTCATGGATTCTCGAGAATAATGGAATGGAAAAGGTTCAAATTAGAGATGATATCATAAACAACGCAGATAATTTACAAAAACTGTACCTAAGGTAACAAGTACAATTTTTCTCCTTTTTCCCCCTTGTTACTGTTATTGCTCTAAGTCCATATAAAAACATGCGTCAATATTTAACTTTGTTATTTTATCATTTTAATATTGAATAAAGCGTTGTTCTACAGCAGATTTTTTTCATATTCAACTATAGTTGATGGTTGAATACTTAGTGTTTGTTTTTCAAAACATGTATTGACCAATGAGATTGTGTATCGTGTATCTTTTGTGTTTAAATTTCAAACAGAATGAATTGAAATATAAGATAATTATTCTTTACATGTGTATGTAAACTTATATACATATATATATTTGCTTTATAAAGATACGTTAGTGATATATAGATTATAAATAGAGATTATTTGACAATACTGGATCTTGATTAAAGTATTTGCATACTGAAATCTTAATATGATTTTTTGATAAGTTAATCGGTTGTTTAGATTAAATAAGTTGATCTGTGATTATATGTAGTGTTTGATAGCATAACATGTTACCATATTGTTCTGTACAATTAAAGTTAGTGAGTACGTAAGGTGAGTGAGTGAGACGGTCGGTCGGTCGGTCGGTCGGTCGGTCGGTCTGTCTGTCTGTCTGTCGGTCCGTCAGTCAGTCATTCAGTCAATCATTGAGTTAGATTGGTGGGAGGGTTTGCACACATGCGTGCATAAGTTCGTTAACTTATTAATTTGGCGACTTCCTTAACAATCTCGAAATTTTTTATACGGTTTTAGATCTTTAGTTAGTGCAAAAGAAAATACAATACATTTCAATGGGGCCGATCAAACGTTACTTTATACCATTTGTGCCGATATGCCGCAAAGCAAAAAGCTAGCTAAGAAGGGACGCTTTGCACTTTTATTAGTAAATTTACATATGTTGTGTTATCATATGATACTTATATTTAATACTGAATGATGATAATCATAGTTGTCCATTGCTGTAAAACTCTAGGACGAGGTTTTCAATGACACATCAAATGTTTGTGTCTTTTGCTTCTAGTTGGCCAGAAAAAATATTTTGTAATTCGTATACATAGGAACAACGATATAGAGCGATTCAATGCAGAAAGTTTTCCTCTCGACGAGCTGGATGAGCTGAAAGTGATTGATTTGACAAATAACAAACTGAAATGTGATTGTAAGATGAGATGGATCCTCACTGATGACTATGATTTGAAGGAGAAGAGTTATACCTTCATGTAAGTACTATAAGTATTTATTACCCTTCCAGATTTGTTCCACCTTTTTGATTGGATATTGATCCGCCGAAAGAAATTGATATTACCGAGCCAGACGGGTAATATACACACCTAAATATACCCGTTTGGTACCCCACGTTGTAAACAACATGCGTGATGGTGATGCGCATACGGTTCGATTTTGCGCGGTGTAAATTCCGATATACAAGCACTATTTAAATGTCAAATGAAAAATATTTACCAAAAGAAAGTAATGATGAATATTCTCATCAGTATTGAAAACAAAAATGGCCTCGCCAATGCTTGATATTAATATCAAAAAAGTGTCTTCGACAGACTACCCCTTTTCTCTTGTTTACATTCGTTAGGTACGAAAGCAAATACGTCATGTATTTATGTGACGTCATGTTGTGGTGAAGAGGTACCCTAAAGGGAATCTTATCTCGACGTTACAAGTTTGAAACAGCAATGATTTATTTTAAAATCTTACTCGGCATGGGAAGGGTAATAAAATTGTTATTTTGGTTTTGGAGTGATATATGTGGATATATTACCTGGTAAGATTTTATATCACCCTCGCCTAACGGCTCGGGTGATATAAAATCTTGCCAGGTAATATATCCACATATATCACTCCAAAACCAAAATAACATATAATATGATGGATGGATCGTAACACATATTTTTGCAAGATAAATATATTACATTAAAAATAACTTATACTTGTTCCTATGGTATTACAAAAACGTTCTTACTGACCCCATTCATTTGATTTCTTGGTGTGATATTCACATTTTAGAAATGCTTATTTTTTATTCAGATTCACGAAAGATGTGTTTTAAAATGCCTATTTATTGATAAATGTTTGATAAGATATTTGCAATGTTTTTTTTTTACCTTAGTGTACACCATTTGCCTTTAAATAAATGATTATGTTATATTTTCAATTAAAAAGCAATTAATCACCTGTTTCAACATGTTCTTCTAGTTATTTGAGATATGTTTTATTTATCATCAGATGTGAAGACCCATCAAATTTGAGAAACAAAAATCTACTAGAAATGGCACCGGAAGATTTAAAGTGTGGATCATCGTTATCAAGGACATTATTTATTGTTTTGGTGTCAGTCGTAGGGGCACTAATACTTATTACCGTTACTTTCTTTACCGTCCGACGATGTCGCCGTCGTATGCGTGAGCGGAGGGCAGCAAGGGGTGATACTCTTGGTAATTATACAGCGGTTTATACACGTGACCAAGATGATGCCGTTATCTCGATGTCGGATAGAAATAATCTCATTGCAAATGATAGTGGAACAGAATTCGACGTTTGAATATTCAGTTCATCTTACTCATTTGTAAATGTTATTCCATATTTAAACGTTTAATTGATAACTCTTAAAAGAGTTGAGATAAAGCAACCTGATCTCTATGTTGACTATGCTTATATCTTTTTGCAAAAATTGTTGTCAAATATTAAAGATGTTTCAAAGTTATTTCTATAGAATAATTCTTGCTTTCTTGATTACAGGTATACATGATTCTGGAGACCGCGCTCCACTGAACATATATACAGTAGCGGTGGAAACTTAACAGGGGAAATAATTGCATTACATTTAAGTCTTTAGAAAAATGTGTTACATCCCTTGCATTTTAGATTCAGTTTTCGTGTCTTTTAAGTACGCTTTAATGTGCTAATGTGTTTGGGGTTTCATTCGTTGAATCCCGCTCTTCTTTGTTGATCTTGTTTTTCAATTTTTACAGATTAAGCAGATATTCGTGTGTTTAATAAATTGGACAAACTAATGATATTTTTTTCATTACATTTAATATTTAGATAAAAGAACACGCATGTAGTTGGTGAAATGAGAATAAGATTAAATGAAAGTTTAAGCAAACAATAACTACTGATTTATAATTAGGTTTAATATGTAATATGTAAATTCATTAATTACTGACCACTTAACTTTTAACAAATGACAACATCGTCAGTCAAACATTTTTTTTTGTATAATCTACTTACTGCGTTAATAACACAGTAACCGACATAAATAGAAAAGATAATTCATTCAATATAGTCATGTGTAACAACAATGGCTGGATCTTTCAAAGTAAGTTAATGTGGTTTAGCAAATTAATTTCAAATTGATATACTGGTAATTATATATACATGAATATGATGTTATTAATAAAGTATATCTTTTTAAGTGCCGCCTATCAAAACTTAAGTATTTTCTACGTTTCCTTGATTATATTTGATACATTCTAAAATACCGTAAGTCACGGGCCAAGGATCCCGACTTTGACCTCTATCAAGGTCAAGTTGAAAAGTATTCGGATAAGTGTTTAAATTTCGGCTATAAGCAAATAATGAGTAAATAATACAGAATAGATATTTCTAAATGTTCAAAAGGACATTGGTTCAAAAGAATAAGAATGTCGTTTAGACAACATCACATAAAGGATTTCTCCAAGCATTAGTACGACAGCATTGATGATAATTCTGCGCGCGTTACCCCACCCACTTGTGGTATAGTGACAAAAGTGCGTCGCGACTTGTTTACTGGCAGACAACTGGGCAAAGAAGTTTAAAATGATATATTTTAAAAGTGTTGAATAAAAAACAAAATTAATATCCAAGAAATGTTCAGAATTTCATTATTTTCTTTGTAAATTTCTGAATACTTGCTTACTGTTCGCGTATGTTAGTCGAGTGAAAAAAATAATATGGCCCTAGATATGTTTTGAAAAAATATTCAGTATCATTTACTTAATATAACATCAAAAGAAAAAGAAATTCTTATTACAACATGTTTTATATTTGACAATACATTTAGTATAACACTGATATTTCTTAAAAAAGCGTGGTAATTTTGACAGTTGGCATATGCGGTAACCATGGAAACTGCCCGTTTACAAAAAACTAACACGTCAACATATATATTTTATTTCTATTTTTGAATCCACAATCAAATGTTACTTGATATATCAATAATGTAGAAAATTCTATAAAAGAAATTTCTTGATAGCTTTAATTTTTTACAGAATTCATGTTTATTTTTCTTATTTTTTATTTAGTTAAAAAGCATGAAAACTCATTTTTTTTAAGAAATATGTTCAAATTATCGTTTGTTTTTATACAAAACCCTAAGATAAAGCAAGCTTTGTATAAAATTATGTTTATTGTGAGTGTAATAAGCTATTTTATACATTATTATAACACAGTTTGACTATTTTGACAATTTTGAGATACATATACGGTTACCACGGAAACTGCCATTTTTCGAAATATCCGTTACGCCAACATATATTTTTCTTTTTCTTTTTGAATTTGTCATTAAATTTTACACAACATACAAAAAAATTAGAAAATCCTATGAAACACTTTTTTCAATATCTCTAATAATTCTGAGAATTCATGTTCATTTTTCTCATTTTTTGTTCGGTTGAGGAACATTTAAAACTCATTTTTTAAAGAAATATGTTCAGATTATCATATGTTTCATACAGAATCATTAGATAAGTTTATCTTTGCATAAAACAATGCTCGTTGTGTGTTTTAAGCTATCTTATACATTTTCTATTCGTTATAACACATTTAGGCTACTTTGACAGTTTTAAGATATACGGTTACCATGGAAACTGCCATTTTACAAGAAATCCAACACGTCAAGATATATTTTTCTTTTTATTTTTAAATTCGTCATTAAATTTTACTCATCATACAAAAAATTTAGAAAATTCTATGAAAGGATTATTTTTTCATAAAACTGTAAAAAATGTCTTTAAGTGGACAATACACAGTTTTCAAGGCTTCTCGACAAACAACTGACTGCGCCACAATCAAAACCTTACACACAAGTCTGTAAGCACACACCTGAAATACACGCATTTCATATATAACATATACATATATATCTCACATCAAACAATTAAAATACATGTCCACCTTCTAGTTTTCTGGCACATAGCCCTGTGTTTTTCATTGTTTTGGTCGCGAAAATCAACGACAAAAAGAGTGGATTACAACTATTCGAAAAATAACAAAAATATATTAACGTAAAAAAATTAAAATCACAAGCTATAGTGTTTCTTCCTTCTCAAATAATACACATTCTGAAAATAACATCCAAACAGGGTGACATGCACCTACTTTTTCACTATTTTAAGTCTTCTGCATACCCTTTAAATTGAAGAGCTGATTTCCGAGCTGGCTTTATGGGTCATAAATTCGAATATGACAGGTACTCCCCAAAATGTATGGGTCAAACACCACTAAAATCAAGTTAACTTGATAACCGAAACACAATACTAGCCACTGAAACTTGAAATATAGCAACTTTGAATATTTAGAAGCTCAAATATCCACTTCAATTACAAAATGGTCTCTTATTTGTAAATATGACCCTGGCCAATTCGAAACTAAACGACCGAAACTGTGTACTGCCTCCAAAGGAAGGTAATTCTCGACAGCGGAAAAGCGAATGTTTGATACCAAAAAGAACGTTTTTAGGCGATATTTCAAAATATTCTTTCCATTGTTTCATTTATTTTAAGAGGGATTTTGAATTAAATGGCCTTTCAAGTAGTTCTACATTAAAAGTGAATAATCAAGAATGACTTGTAACTGTTTTATAGCGATACATATATAAGAGGGGTTACTTTCTTTAAAAACATTTCAAAAGTAACATTTCAGATACGGTGTCGCTATCAATGTCGGACAGAACATGATCAAGGGATCATTTTGGCAAAAAATCTACACTCCCGTAATAAGAATGCTTTGCCTATTAGTGCATCAGGCTAACTCGTTTTTTATTACCATGCCAAATGTATCAACTCAATAAACCGTTACACTTGCCAGGACAACATATCACAAAATCTATTAACAAAAGAGAACAGTTGCAGTGGGTGACTTTTGACTTTTCCTTCAGTTGATATTTTTGGGTTTTTCGTATCTTCATTTAAACTTAGACCTAAGATTGATCAGACTGTGCAAATCATTTTTTCTCTTGAAAAATAAAATGTTAAATAAACATTTGAAAAATTGTATATAAGCTAAATGCAACACATTATTTGTTTCCACTACTTCTGTAATATGAAAAGAGAAACGTGTTATGATATCTTAGAATGTTTATCGTCCCAAAAATCCAACACCAATAATATTCTACCTTCATTGATGCCATTAATTACCACTTAGTTAATATTTAATAAAAATAGCAGGAACCATTGAACAATGTTTCAAAATTTTAAATTCTAATATTAGTTATGATATATGTCATGTCTGAAGATATGTGTATAAAGCGCTAACAGAAAATAAACGTGTAAAAATTAAATGGTATTCATTTTCTGCATTTCACAAAAACCTATCTTTGTATATATATATATATATATATTAGATGTACACAAGAAATCAAACTTCTCTTTTGGTGATGATGATTATAGATGGTTATGCCTCTTTTTTAAATAAAACTCAAGACACATTGGGCACATTAATTGCAATCTCAGGATTGAAAGTTAATTTTGATAACACAAGATAATATTAAAACAAATTGAAAACTGTCTTTGAATAAGCAATGTTTTGACATGTTAAGCAACACGTTTTATGTGGATTTTAAACAAATGCTTAAATTAAATCCGGAAATGGCAAATGCAAAACATATTCCTAACTTGTGAAAGAGAAGAACAATTGCATCGATTGTAAGAAAACTTACCATTAAAGTTCTAGTACTTTCACTTTTTAACCATTTGTTTGTCTTTTCGCCTTATCCATTCAACGGGTAGAAACTTAATTTAATCAATTCATACGGAAAGGTTATGTAAGGTAAAATATGTTTTGATAATAACTAAGAAAAAGGGACTATATGTGTTAAATTTATAAGCTTTTATAAAATCACTTAACATTGCTTGGATCAGGCGAATTAGCATGAGCAATGGAAAATGGTTATTGTTTCTTAATTGGTTGGTGCATAGTTAAAAACGCTTAAAACAAATGGAATTTTATATGATATCCACGAATTCAATTGGTTTTATAATGTAAATTATTTTTATAATGTAAATGCCTCATGATGCTTATTTCTCGCATCTTTTGAGCGTTCGTCATACAACAGTTAAATATATACCGATGGTTGCAATATCAGAGAATTGAAAAATGTCATAAGACGTTCTCTCATATATGAAAAATGAAAGAGTTTCCCAAGAGTGCATAATAAATTAAAATCAAATATCATTCAAGGTTACTCTTTCTTTCCATTAAATGTTGAAACGCATTTATTAAACTGTCTGCAAAGATGAAAACAAGTCCAATATGAGCTCACATTTCATTTCTGTAGAATAATGTCAATGTCAAAGCCTTATCATTCAATGTAAAATCAATTTTTGTGTCTGTCTTTTAATTCGTCCCTTGTACTTACATTTTTTTTAAATGGTGCAAAATTTCTGTATATCAAACGTCGTTGTATGACCTTAACTCTTTCCACTATAAGAACCTAAAATTACAACGTGCGTTTAAATGAAGGCTTTAATGTAAGATAAAAAACGGTGAAATCACAGTCTTCATAGTGATATATTAACGACTTATGTTTCATATATGACCTTATATAAAACTGCATTTTTTCAATATCAATAAAGTTCTGATCTTCAAGATATGTAAAACAGTGCTAGTATTAGATCGAAGAGGTTAATACACGTCAGAGACGGCTCGGGAATTCATTCCCCGGGGTCATTACTCATTTTACTAGCCGATTATTACCTTTCGGTCCTACTCTGCCGTGTGTTAACCTCTTAATAATATGATCTTTTTTTTCGGA